GTCCTGTGGGGCACCCCAAAACACTGAGTAGCTCTCTTGGCCTCTTTCGGGACTGGGGCTGTGCAGCCCTGTTCTGATCAGGAGGTGCAGCCGGGGGGGTTACCATGCCTTTGGGGGACAGAGCACAGAAAGGGGCAGGAGGTTCAGAGGCCATTCCAATTCATACCTGGCAGGGGAGATACCATTATTGTAAAAGTGGTTTTCCCGGGGTGAGGCTCATCTATTGCACTTTGGATGTGCTGACCCCTGTGATTTCCCCAAATATGGGAAAATCAGCTGCCTAAGTGGGGGACTGTGTTTGTGGTTTCCCCTGGTTTTTCCAGAATTACTCTTTCCCTTTTTGTTGTTGGCTGTTTTCACTGCCTGCTGCCATAGACCTGTTGGCCTTGCTGGTTTTCCAGCTGAGCTCCAGGAAGCAGATCCTAGAAAGCTAGCAGTGCAGAATGGTGAGGTCCAAACAGCAAGCAGTCTCTGGTGCTAGTTTAGAGACCTCCCAGCATGGCAGTGGGGGGCTTCTGGGTGGTGGTGGTGGAACCCCTTTTTTTACTGTATTCGTTCCATAAGACACACATACTTCCTCCCCCCCACGATTTGGGTTTGGGGGGGGGGAGTGCATCTTATGGAGCAAAAAATACAGTAACCTTCCCTTGCTCCACTGCTCAAATAGCAGCACATAGCCTCTTCTGTATAAAAACATAGCATAAGATTCCCTTTCATGTATCTCACTTTTCACATTCACCATTTTTCTGTGTGATATCTTCTGTCATTCTCCTTTCAGGGTCATCTGTCCCTGGACTGTTCTATCTCAGGAATCTTCTCTGTGCTTGGCTCCCCAGCTGTTCTTTTTGCAGCACTTCTGTCTCTGCCCTCATTTCCAAACATGTCGTAACATTTTCTGTTCCTGGCTTCCAGTCAGATTGATCTTTTTTTGTTCTTTAGTCGTTTGAAGTCAAAATACTATATAGAGATTGGGCTAGATATCCAGAATTTATTTTCTTATGCCTTGCAAACAGGTATTCAATAGTTTGATAATTAGAAAGCTATTTCATGCACCTATTAATACGTAATACAGTCATTTGTACATTATGTTCCATAGCTGATCACCATAGTCTAGCCTTTCTAAAGCAGTTGCCTTTCAGACCTGATTTTTTTTCCTTAGGGGGGAATAATTTAAAAAAATGAAATATCAAGGTTTTTAAAGATACCAAACTTTAATCTTGTTTATTTAAACATTACAGATAAAGTTAAATCTAGTCACACATTTGCTAGTGTATATTTTGCTTACAATATCCAAAAAAATGAATCAGTGGAATTGATGAGATAAATGTTGAGTCATTTAATTTTTCAAGAAAAGGACTCTAGTTGGTTCCAACTAAACAGAAATTGCCAATTCTTGCTTCATGTTCTGGGCTTTCAATTTCTGTTTCTCCAATACTAAAGCTATAAGGTATTTAAGATTTAGATTGAGTGAGAGTGCTTAAATCAGTGGAGCTAGACTTTAAAAGGCAGATTTTAAAATATTACTTAGAGGAGAGAGTGGGACAGAAAGCACAATAGGGAAGGACCTCACTAATTCCTGGTTGTACATAGTACACTAAACTTGAGGTTTCCCAAATGACACCTCTCTGAACACATACTTCCAAGGAAATCTTTCTAGTGCCTACATATTCTTTGGGCAACTGTCCTCAGCCTCTGCTTACCCCCTTTAGAAGCAGACTGATCTTGGCTTTAAAATGTATATGAAGGAGTTGGGAGGAAATAAGAATAGGTTGCTGTTTTCTGTTTCCTCTTTCAACTTTATATAGTTTTTCTGGCCAAGGTTTGCAACACTGGACATTGTGGCCGAAATCCTGTTGCTTGGTGCAGGAAATCACAACTAGAATAAACCCACTGAATCAATGGGACCTATGGAGGAGTTGACTCAGTAGCTCACCACTTATTCAGTGGACCTACTATTGTTGTTGTTTAGTCGTCAAGACATGTCCGACTCTTCATGACCCCATGGAACAAAGCACGTCAGGCCCTCCTGTCTCCCACTGCCTCCCGGAGTTTGGTCAAATTCATGTTGGTAGCTTCGATGACACTGTCCAATCATCTCGTCCTCTGTCATCTCCTTCTCCTCTTGCCCACACACTTTCCCAACATCAGGGTATTTTCCAGGGAGTCTTCTCTTCTCATGAGATGGCCAAAGTATTGGAGCCTCAGCTTCAGGATCTGTCCTTCTAGTGAACACTCAGAGTTGATTGGGCCTACTATAGTTGCAGGTTAATGTGTAAATCAGTGGTCTCCAACCTTGGGCCTCCAGATGTTCTAGGAATTCAACTCCCAGAAATCCTGGCCAGCAGAGATGGTGTGAAGGCTTCTGGGAGTTGTAGTCCAAGAACATCTGGAGGCCCAAGGTTGGGGACCACTGGTGTAAAGCATCAGGATTTCATCCTGTGAGTTCTGAGTTACACAGTGTCCATAGTGGTTCTGCTTTCTGCCAGATCCGTTAGTCCAGTCAGGTTCTACTGGATACTTATTTAGTTCAAGTTTCCTGAATAGCAGGGAGTAGGAGTAGTTCTACAGAGAGCTCTGAGTAATTCTTGTTGCTGGAGACCATTTATGCCTGCCTGTTTATCATTCCAACCAGCAGCATACAGTGGGGTCTTGACTTGAGAACTTAATCCGTATTGGAAGGCAGTTCTCAAGTCTAAAAGTTCTCAGGTCAAATCTGCATTTCCCATAGGAATGCATTGAAAACCATTTGATCCGTATCTGCTCTTTTCCGTCCATAGAAACTAATGGGAAGCTGCTATTCTGCCTTCGACCACTAGAGGGGGATATTTTGTTTCTTTTTTTCTTAGGTCAAGAACGGTTCAGGGAAGGCAGGGAAAATACAGTCCAGACAGTACAGTACCAGGCAGTCCGAAGACTGTCTCCCAATCCACTCTCTAAACGCTGGGAGGAGTGAGGAAGCAGACAGGCACCCTTTTCACTGGCCAACAGTTAACTGAAAGTTCAAATTTTGCACTTTCCCTGCCTCCCATATGGGTTTTTTTCAGTTCTTAACTCAAATCTAAGTACTTAAGTCAAGTCAATATTTTCCTATGAGAGTGGTTCTTAAGTCAAAATGTTCTTAACTCAAGCCGTTCTTAAGTCAAGACCCCACTGTAACAAGGGTGAGCCTTAAGTATGGTTTGGCTACATTCAGACTGCTTAGCTCCTCTTTCATGTGGACTGCATCCTTTTCTCTTGCTCCCTGGGGACCTTCTTTCAGAGACAGATACTGATATTTTTTGCCACCAGGATTATGTAGATACTACCATTTTTCTCTTCTTCGTGACTTAACTTTATGAGGTTTGAAAGTACAATTACTTCAGTTGCTAATGAAGTAACAGCAAAGTTGCTGCAAAGTTGGCTGCAAAGGGATGGGTACTGTGAAGCGTTAAGGGCAGGGCTATTATCTCTCCTGACCAGGGGTTCTGCTACTTTTAATTTTTCCTAGAAGTTCTGGAGGGGTACCCACAATCACACAGTACTGCAAGAACAGTTGTCTTTGGTAACACATTTAATGACACAGAATTTGATCTGGAGAAGTGCAAGTAGACATCTTCTATATCTCATTGCAGCCCCTTCCAAATCACCCCAAAAGCTGCTTCTAAGATTTGGAAAATTCTCTGGTGTAATGTGAGATACAGTGCAGGGAAGAGACTACAAAAAAACAAGGGGAAATTGATGGAAGGTTATGGTTTCAAATGTGCTGATGCAAGAGACCATCTGAATCCTAACATTAATTTTAGTGTTTATTTTCATCTAATGCAGAAGTTGATTATTACTTTCTAAAATGCAGTAAATTCATTACTTTTCATTTTATTAAGGTCAGGACATTCAGAGTCACAACAGCAATAAGAAGCCTTCATCCAAGGAAGTTTTATTGTCTTGCTCCGGCTTTCCTTGATAGGAATTAAAAGAGCTCTACTATTTGTAATAGGAACAATCTCAAGCTTTTTTTTCCTCATTAGAAGCCTTAAATTAGTTGCAGTGTAACTTGTCTTGTTGATATCACTGGGGCATAAGTACAACTGTAATCTGGATTCAACTGTTTCATTTTTTTAACAGCTGTAAAACATTTTTGATACACCATTGAGCTTACTAGCCTTTTTTAAAATGTTACAATGTCTAAATAGAAACCATGCAGCAGAGTAAACTGTATTAATGGGGAAACTGAGTGCAGTTATAGTGTTGTTCAGAGTTGTATTCATTGGGTGATGGAAATACTTTGGCGTCTGACATGGGTTTATTTGATATGGGTTTTCTGGCTTTCTGTGCCCCTTGTGATACATCTTGCTGTTCAGTTTCCTTACTAGAATTCTAAAGCTCCCCTATAATTTGTATTCTTGCTGATTTTTTTAAAAACATGTTTGTCATCATGTTGCAGGGCATTCTGATCTGCAATTGTTCTGTATCCATCTATCTTTATATATTTCCATGGAAGGAACTTGCCCATCATAGTTAATTTATTTTTAATTGAAGTAATGAATTTATTAAATAGCTCTTTTAAAGCCAACATTAAATTATGTTAATGCTGGTATTTCTATAGAATTGTTAATACAGAAATTGTTAACATTGTTTTTGACTTTGTTGCACAGAAATATTTGCAGATCAGCATTGCTGACTATTACCAATTTTTTTTCACACTTCCTCATCAGATCCTCAGTTGTGCTTTTTATATTTCTGCAGTAAAATTCTGTGCATCAAACAGTATAGTTCCATGTATTAGCTGTGGTGTGCTTCCCATTCAGAACTACCCCTTCTGTTTTTGAAGAAGAAAAATGCAAACTGAGTGAATCTTTTTTCCATACACTCTGATTATTCCGCAGATTACACAAATCCATTGGTAATATGCATTTCTCTGCACATATGTTCTAAAGGTGAAGGGATTCATGTAAGATAGATTAAAAACTTTTCTTTTTTCGTAACAATAAAATTTTGATTTGTTTAGCATATTCAAAGACCCTGAATAATTGATTGAAAAAAAACGAAACTCATGTATAATCAAATTTCCTTTCATTATTGCATACAATGCAGTTTAGCTCCATTACAGATTTCCTATCAGTGACTCCTTTAAATAGAGAGATACTTGATAAATACTGTCATTCATTTCATATCAGCTACACCTCATCTTGCTTAGGTTGTGCAAAAGACTTTTTTTTTTTATTTGGGGGAAAACCAAACAGGATGCCACATGGTAACAGTTGGCACCAAGAAGGAATTAAAGCTACTTCCATGCAATGGCAGTAAGATAGTAGGCTCTTCATTAATAGTTGTAACTACTGATAATTCCATACTGTTTTCGGAGTTGTAGTTTAATCACATTCATCTTGGCCCCTCAAAGCAAAAAAAAATGCTCATACTGTTACACTTACCTCTTTTAATTTTAAAATACTGGTGTGTCTTAATACTTTGAAACAGAAGTGGTTCCAAGTTCTGAGAGAAAGTCAAGTTGGTACAATATTCTGCTTAAAACCTATAGCATTCCTTGTCAGACAATTTAAATTATGAATGCAGTTTAGATTTTTAATTATGGAAAATGTTCACCAGTTTGCTTCAGTCTAACTCTGCTGCATGCGTTCATGAGTTCCATAAAGATTGCATGCTTTGTCTTTAATACAAATTGTATTTTATTTTCATATCCATCCCTGCTTTTTTATATTTTACTTTTGTTTCCCTATTCTTGGTTGGATGCCTGTGTATGTTTAATCCAAATCCTTGTCCAGTCCTGGAGTTTGAACTACGGAAAGCAAAAGAGACCATTCAGGCCCTCCGAGCCAACCTGACTCAGGCTGCAGGTGGTGTACATAAACCTTTTCCATAGTTTTTGTATTTTGACAAAATAAAAATAGGTGATGAATTACAAAATAGTGAATGATACATTTTCCTATATTGCTGTTTGCAGAAAATGAAGTTCCTTTACAGGAACGGAGAAATTACAAATCAAGTCCTGAAATTCAGGTGGGTAATTAAAGAAGTCATATTTGCTGTTTTTTTACTTTGTAGTTCAGCCCTTCCTTGCCTCTAGGCAAATAGCTTAGTCAATCCCTAGCTCCATCTTTTCTGTCATGTGGAGGCGTGAATAGTTTGTTGTCCTAAAATACTAGTTATGTTCTGAGTCTGATTATTAGGCCTTTTACATGTATCTTATTTTCTTTCTAGGAACCAATTAAACCTCTTGAAAAAAGAGCTCTAAACTTCTTAGTCAATGAATTTTTATTGAAGAATGGGTACAAGCTTACTTCAATAACTTTTTCAGATGAAAATGATGATCAAGTAAGATGAAATAAAGTTTTCTTTACAATTTGCTTTATTCCTGTTTTTAAGACTTTTATTTTCTAGTACACCATCATTCTTGAGCATTATTTCTAAAGAAGTACGGTGGTTCTTTCTCTGTTTATCCAGTAACCTCTGTGTGAGAAGCAGTGGGGTAGGGTTATAGTTCTGCTCTCAGTAAGAAATAGTATAGTAGAAGTGGACACTGGCAACAGAATATTTGCATTTCATCAGCTGCTAACTCAGCAGCTATTGTTCCAGACATAAAAGCAGTAAGTATGAACATTCTGCAAAAAGAACAATGGTGCAACAGTATTTCAGTTTTCTTTTACTCAATTTAATTGCTAAAATCCTCCTTTAAAAAAAAGGATTGTTACCCAGGAATGGAAGGACAGACAACAAAGAGTGCATTCCACAGCCTAGGAACAATCACTGCAAAGGCCTTCTCATGTATACTTGCCCAATGTGCATGTGCTGGAGGAGAGGGGCTTCATTTCCCTTTTTTGCCTCCTGAACTCATCCTCAGTATCTTCCAGGGAAAAAATCCACTCAGCCATCTTCTAAATACTGCATAGCATTTTCCCTCTCGCCTTACCTTAAAACACACCTTTTTAAACAAAAGAGAGGTCACAGTACACAAACTCTAAGAGCCACAGAATAAAAACACACACATTCTAACAGGGACTCAAAATGCTACAACTACACCCTGCAAGACCCATCAGAACACAGAAACATAACTCCCCCAGCCAAAACCCACATTGTAAAAACCCTGTACATACAGTACTCACCCAGAACAGGCAGTCTCTCTGTTTTAAAAAAGAAAGTAAAAAAGCAAAAATAAAAAAATGCAAAAAAAACCACAGTACAGTACCAGGCTTCTTCGCTGACCATCAGTTAACTGAAAGCAGTGCAAATTCCCCGCCTTCCGCGCCTTCTTTTTCCATTCATAACTCGACGCGCCGGTTGCAAGTCGAAACAAAATTTTGCAGCCGGAGCTGGTCGTAACTCGAATTGGTCATAAGTCAGGACATTTGTAAGTCAAGGCACCACTGTAGTAAGTGTTGACTTACCAAATCCCAACTGATTCAATATGCTGTCTCTAGTTGTCACTTACTACTGGATTTCAACCATTGAGTGGTCCAGCAGTGGCTCGATAATATCCTTCATTTAGTGAAAGCAAAGATGCTCTTGTAATTAAGTCTTTCATGTTCTGATAAAGTAGTTAAAGGCTTTTAAGAATGAACCTGGTTTGTAAATGAGATCTTAGCATTACTTAACTATAATTCTTAAATTACTTGCAAGTACAGAATCTGCTAGTTTCCATTTTGCCATGTATTTCTCTTCCTTTGTGGTACTTAGTTAACACAAAAAGCATAATTAATGTTTTGTTTTTACTTTGGAAGGATTTTGAGCTGTGGGATGATGTAGGGCTGAACATTCCAAAGCCTCCTGATTTGCTACAGCTCTACCGTGATTTTGGAAATCATCATGTAACTCCAAAAGATGTTGTGGATATAGCTGTTGGCACTGAAGAGGATGAACTGGAGGCAAGCACTCCTATCCTGGAGAACATTCCTGTATTTGGAACACCAGAATCAATAGAGGTAGAAAATATAATTCATCTTTGGATGTTAAAATCTTTTCCAAAAATGCAGTATCCAAGTTACTTTTTCCTTATTTCTTTCTTCTAGCAATGTGTAATGGTGCAGAAATTAGAAGATCAAATTAATGCGTTAAGCACTGAAAAGTGGTCTCTTCTGGAACAAATACGAAGACTTGAAAGGTATATACTCCAGCATTGTAGGTTTGCAAAAATTCAAAAGTTTTATTGATACCAGAAAAGCAATTGGCAGTATTTCACTAGGTGTCCCATTGCCTCTGCAATTAAGGTGAGAATGTAGTTAGACATGCCCAGGTTTCTGAATTGTGTCCTTAAATTCATTGAAATAAATATGCAGGGGGTTTAAGCTTTACTTGTCTCAACATGCTCTAACCAATAGTAGCTGAAATGCTATTGCTTATCATAATGAGTAGCAGCTAGAGTAGACCTATTGAATCAATGGGACTGACTGGTTGGGTGACTCACCAAATCTGACAAATTTAATGTGCCTGCTTTACTTCCATCTTACAGTGGTGCCTTGAGTTGCGAATTTAATCCATTCCGGAATGATGGTCGTAACTCAAGTTGATTGTAACTCAAAGCACCATTTCCCATAGGAATACATTGAAACACAATTAATCTGTTCCGGCCGAAAACCACCACCACCCCACTAAAAAACACATTGCAAGACCATCGAAGCACGGAAACATAACCCCCCTGCCCACCCCAAACCGAAGCAGCCAGAGAATTTAAAAAATACTAAAACGACATACTGCAAGACCCATCGAAGCACAGAAACATAACCCTCCACTCAGCCCAAAACCAAGCAGCCACAGAATTTTAAAAATGCTAAAACGACAGACTGCAAGACCCAGTGAAGCACAGAAAGATAACCCCCCACTCAGCCCAAACCCAAGCAGGCACAGAATTTTTTTTTTAAAAAACCCAAACATTCCAGCAAAACCCCACCCAGCACAAACCCATGCTGCAAAACCCCAGTACTCACCCAGAATAGGCAGTCTCTCTGTTTTAAAAACGAAAGTCGAAAAGCAAAAATAAAAGCAGTACCAGGCAGTCCGATGCCACTCTCAGAATGTACACTCTCTAACCGCTGGGGTGAAGGAGCTACAAAGAAGGAGCCTCTTCGCCAACCAACAGTTAGCAGTTTAAATTGTCCGCCTTTCCCCACCATCTTTTTTCTGTGTGATTAGGTTCGTTATGATGCATAGGCAGTTCCCTTAGTCGGGTGGAAGAAGTGATGGAGACTCCTTTATAACATCAACAGATTTATTCATCATAATGTCAGGAGAATCAACAACTATCTCCACTGGGCCTAATAAACTAATGTCCTTTAACTCGTATCTCAGAGCTCTGATCACAAGTCAAACCGAAATTTGCAACCAGAGCTGGTCGTAATTCGATTTGGTCACAAGTCAGGATGGTCATAAGTTGAGGTATTATGTTAAGCAGCAAGATTTCAGCCTTTGTCTTGAGTAAGCAGAAGCAATCATTTTGTTTCTGCCATTTGTTTACTATCAAAATTCCACATGCTGGCTTTGGCCATTTGTGCCATATGTGGCCTGTGAGCTGCTTCCATATAAAGTTGATGAAGAACTGCTTTCAGTTTTTAAGGAACTGTTCATCCTTTCATTGACAAAAGTGAAATTGGTGAGAAAAATGGGCCTTTTTCATAGTGGGGCCTAAAAGAATAGCCTTGTTATGTTTCAGGAAAGGTTTGTCTGGCCCTCTTCTTCCTTGCTTTCAAATGGCTCTTAATGCTATTTTATTCGAGTTGACATTATTTTTATTCAGAACATGTGATGTCCTATATACCTTTCGTATCTACTTGAAACTGATACAGTTTTTCTGATGTTTATTATTTTTAAAGCTATGTGTTTTTCTCCATAAATCATCTTGAATATACTTCATCATAGAAACATAGAACATAAACAGTTAATCTGTTGATGCATTCCCTTCCCCCACTTAGGTACTTGGTTTGAGACAATTTTTTAAAGAAATACACTTCTATACACTTCTATTAATATACAACATAGATTATTAGAAGTAGTTTATTATTTATTCACTTTTTTTCTTAATTCCAAACTCTTTTTTCCTTCTGTCTTTCAGTGAAATAGATTACTTAAGAAGTGAAAAAACTCAGTTTCCAATGATAAGTGACTTGGTCCAGTCATCTTCAGGTCAAGTGCCTCTCACAGTCCCAGATGATAATGGGAGATATTTAGATATCCAGAGTTCAGCTAATGAGGATAAGCATGCTCAGTCTGAAGAAAAAAAGATTTTCACAGAACCTGAGTCAAGGTCCTCTAAAGAAGATGCTCGAATATCTCTCCCTTTTAAGGAGAGGGAGAAAATTCCACCTTGCTTTCCAACAAATAAAAGTGCTGTACACTTTGATAAACCCAACAGGTTAGTAATGTGAAACATACTCTCTAACAGGAAAATACCAATGTGGAAGTTTTCAGCGCTTCACCAACTGTATAGAGTTAGTTTAAAAAGTGCTTGGTTCTTGTCTGAAATTGTAAGTCAGTTTGTTCAGTTAGGCTGTTTAGGCTGGAGGAGAAAGGTTTTCCTGAAAAATGCTAGGCTTGAAGCACTGCATGATGCTAACAGTATTATTCCCCATGAAATGCTGACCTGGGACTCCCAATACTTCCATGTTGTGTGCCAGTTTTATTATATTTAATGTTGAAGCACTGTCTGAATGTGCTGCTGGATGGCTGACATCTTTTGAAGCTAGCATAATGTAAACTTACACGTGCACAACTCCACCTATTAATAATGTCACTATCGTGCAGCACACCTGCAGAAGTCCTTTGTGAACATCCCTTCTACTTTGGTGAAGTTATAGCTCTGGTAGCTATTTTGTTCATAGCAATTCTCCATGCTGTCTAGCAACAAGAGACAAGGTGTGATTAGGTTCGTTATGATGCATAGGCAGTTCCCTTAGTCGGGTGGAAGAAGTGATGGAGACTCCTTTATAACATCAACAGATTTATTCATCATAATGTCAGGAGAATCAACAACTATCTCCACTGGGCCTAATAAACTAATGTCCTTTAACTGGTCATAAGTTGTCATCAACAGTTCAGTCTCTTTTCCTAAATGATTTATGAAGGGGCTGCTCCAAACCTCCCCCGATCCAGGGGCTTGCGCAACAGAGTGCTCCTCACGGTGCAAATAGTCCTGCAACATGGGTATCTGGCCCAGTCGCCCTCTGGGGGTGGTTGGTTGAAAGAAGAGTCCGGCCTGACCACCTTCCTCCAACGACCTTGTCCCCTGGGGTACACCACCATCATCCTTTCTAAGGGATCCAGTGGGGTGTCCTTCTGCTTGGCCGGATTTGGAATGGGAAGTAACTCTCCGGTCTTCAAGTTTGGGAAATCCTCTAGCAGACTTTTCATTCTCTCATCCTCTTTTCTATTTTCTCCTTCCTCACTCACATTCCTTCTTCTCCTGTCTCAATTCTGAATTCCCGCTTTTTCTCTCGCCCTTTTATATCCTCTTCCCCAATGGATAACACTAACTCCTCCCCCTTTTCACCCCCCTTTTCCTCCCCTAAGCAGATCTCCACCTTCTCTTTAACTATCTCCTCTCCACTTTCCTTTTCCTTTGGTCTTTATCCCTCCTCATCTATTTCCACACATGTTGATTTTATTGGCAAAGGGGACGGCACACTCTGGTTTCTCCTCTTTCCATCTGTCTTTCACACAAGGGCTATCCTCTGAAGCAGTGAGAATTATTGGAGGCAGAAGGGCGGGGGAAAGGAAAATCTGAGGGAGGAAGAGAATAGATTGTTGAAAACCACCTCAGGGACTCTGTTGATCCCTGATTAGAGATATATGTGTGATGTCATACACATTGGTAGTAATTACCAAAGTAGCTGTTTAAACTAACACCTGTCCATCCTGTTTTAAATGCACTTTGCCCAAAAAGCAGTAAAGCAGTTTATTGGGTAACACTTTTGAAGTGAAAAAAAAGTACCCTGATGGTGGATAAGGGATTACATGATTATGCTGTGGGTTTTTTGTTACTATTTTGTACACCTAGGCTTGTTTTGATGAAGTAATATTTCCAGACAGTAGCTTTTTATGTGTTGTTTCATTGAGCAAATGTTTCTGTTTTTCAAAGATGTTTTTCTGGTTTTGCTACTTCTGTAGAATACAATATTTTATAAAGGATGAAATCCTGTTGCTTAGCATAGTAAGTCACAACTTAAGTAGGCACATTGAATCAATGGAACTTACTGAGGAGTTGACTCATTAGATCCCCCCTGATTGCCTCTAGTGTAACTTTCTGCACTGAGCAAGAGGATTTCAGTCACAGTGATATTATTACAAGGCTGTAGGAGTACCTTGTAAAACCTTTTTTTCTGACCTGCAAATCACTGTGTATATCCTCTGTTTCTTCTTTATGGTCTCTGTGAATGCACACTAATGGGTTAATCCGCGCTTCCAACCTTGGAACTTTCTAGCTCGAGCACATGGTGCTGGGACCTCCCACATGCTGGCTATAACTCTGCCCCCTGGCATCTAGTGCCTCAGTTCCTTTCTTACCGCCGCTGCTGCAGCTTCTTTAGGAACTTCGCGTGATTAAATCAAACTTTTTCTTGTTTAGTCGTTAAGTCGTGTCTGACTCTTCGTGACCCCATGGACCAGAGGACGCCAGGCCCTCCTGTCTTCCACTGCCTCCCGGAGTTGGGTCAAATTTATGTTGGTAGCTTTGATGACACTGTCCAACCATCTCTTCCTCTGTCGTCCCCCTCTCCTCTTGCCCTCACACTTTCCCAACATCAGGGTCTTTTCCAGGGAGTCTTCTCATGAGATGGCTAAAATATGGAGCTTCAGTTTCAGAATCTGTCCTTCCAGTGAGCACTCAGGGTTGATTTCCTTCAAAATTGATAGGTTTGTTTTCTTTGCAGTCCAGGGGACTCTCAAGAGTCTCCTCCAGCACCACAATTCAAAAGCATCAATTCTTCGGCGGTCAGCCTTCTTTATGATCCAGCTTTTTTTATGGTCCAGCTCTTACTTCCATCAAAACAAACTTACCTTTCCCTTTCTTCTTGGACCTCCTTGGCTTGATCTCAGAACGTCGGCTTCACTTCGTCACAGTGAGTTTATTCTGGAAAAACAAAATAGGACAGTTATTCAAGTTATCTGGCTTTGAGTTTATGACCTCGCAGAGCTTCTTCAAGAGGTGCGAGGCTTGCTCAAACAAAATCCCCTTTTCTGATGGGCATTCTACCTCAGGGAAGAACATCAACTGTCTGTGTGCACCTTTTCTAAAAGCTTTACCAAAACTAAAACTCGGTCTTCAATGCCTCAGGTCATTCCTGTGGGAAGAATCCCTTTCGCCTTTGCAGAGTACCTCCATGGACTCTCTTAAGGCCCAGCAGCCGTCCCTGACGGGCTCGCCTGGAGTTGCAGCCTAGAAGGCGGCAAAAATGGTGGCTAAACCTAAATCTTCCTCGGGACCAAAGTCGACGGCAGCAGCATCTACACTAATGTCATCTTTGGTGTTGAGCTTGAAGAAAAAGAAGAAGCCCCCAAAATCTACTAGGGCAGCTGATCCATCGGTACTGAGACCGGAGATATCCCGGCAACATTCGGTTTGCCTAAGTCTGCCTTCAGGGGATGAGGACATGCCTCTGCCGTTGCCACCGCCATCCCCTTCTGTCAGTGATGGTCCTGACTAGGGCAACACCTTTTTTGAGTTTGTCGACTTGGCACAGGCTAGCCTGTGTTCCTCACAGAGCTTGAGGGCACAGCAGCCCGTGGCTTCACCGCCACTGCTGGCTCGGGCTGAGGTTCCTCATAAGAGAACCCACAAGTCTCAGCATCTTCAGCCAGCTGAGCAGCCAGACCCATGTAGCTGCCCTTTGGAGCCAAAGGGGTTCCCTACCCATCTGGGCAGCATTATTATGACTGCCCACCGTTTTATGAGATGGAGGACTTTGACCAGGACCCGTTCACAAATCATCACAGTGGCACACTTGTGTCTTTTGGAAATCACAATATTCCCATATTTGGATGACTGACCCCTAGTAGCTGAGTCTCAATCACGAGCTAGAAGACATATGGAGTTGGCACTTTCCCTGCTGTCAACATTAGGATTGAATTTCAATGTAGAGAAGTCGACTTTGCATCCTGCCCAATGTGTGGATTATATAGGGGCAACTCTGGGTGCTTCCTTGGGTCAAGCCTTTCTTCCTGAAAACAGGATTTTGAAAATACAATCTTTGTTATTCTCCTCCTTCTCAGGTGCATGGGTTCCCGCCCTTGAAGTTCAGTGCCTTTTGGGTCTTATGGCGTCCACCACGACTGTCGTGCAGCATGCATGACTGAATATGAGGTCTCTTCAGGCCTGGTTTCTCTCACCGTTTTTGATGACTCAAGACCTCCTATCCAGACAGATGCAGGTTACACCAGAGCTCACCACACAACTGGATTGGTGGAGACTCCCTCGCAACCTGCGGGTAGGAAGGCCTTTTGACCTCTTGTCTCCTAGCGTTCAAATCACTACAGATGCCAGCCCAACAGGCTGGGGAACTAACTTGGGCCCCCACACAATGAATTGCTACTGACCTTCAGCGGAAGCTGGCCTTCTTATCAACCAGCTAGAACTGTTCGCGATTGCCAAGGCATTTTGGGCCTTTGAAACCTTTCTCCTTGGTCGGGTAGTCCAAATGGCAACAGATAATACTACGGCAATTTATTATATAAACAAACAAGGTGGCGCTCACTCGCTCCACCTCCTATTTCAGACCATCGACCTCTGGGAATGGTGCTTTGTTTGGCACATATACCCAGTAGCTGTGCATGTAGCAGGCAAAGGAAATTCCCTTGCAGACCATCTGAGCAGGCTTCAATCCTGCTCCCATGAATGGGCCCTGGACAGTGCGACCTTTCATCAGCTCTCCCACTGTTGGGGGACTCCAGGGGTGGATGTTTTTGGGTCCCAAGTCAACAAAAAGTGCAACAGTTATTGCTCATGGGCCGGCATTGGTCACCAGTCCCTGGGGGATGCCTTCATGATGCAGTGGTCTACCCGCCTGCTCCAAATGTTCCCACCCATTCCCCTTCTGCACAAGACAGTGGTAAAAATCCAACACGAAAATGCAGATGTGATCCTTATAGCCCCTTGGTAGCCTCGGCAACCATGGTTCTTGGCTCTAACCCCCCAGGACGTCAGAGTACATCAGGCTAAAGATAGTTCCCCATCTGCTGTCCCGGGATGATGGACGGATTTTTCATCCAGATCTCAGATCCCTCCACCTAGCAGCCTAGAGGCTTCCCTGACTGTAGCAGAAGTGCTCAGCCATGAACACAAGCCCTCAACCTCCTTGGCCTACTCCTATAAATGGAGAGTGTTCTGTACATTTGCCATGACTCGCCACTTACCTCTCAGCCTGACTTCTCTAGATGCACTTCTTCAGTTTCTCCTCTACCTGTTCCAGTAAGGGTTTTCACACTCAACCTTAAAGGTCTACATAGCGGCCATTGTAACCCATCAACCTCCTTCTTCTCAGGCGGCTGTGCTCTTTAGACATACGACCTTGAAGCAGTTCTTGCAAGGACTGAGGAACATGCACCCGGCCTACAAGCCCATCACACTGCAGTGTCACTCCAGCTAGTTCTAAATTGGCTCATGAATCCTTCCTTTGAAACCTTGGCTCCTGCTTTGTTCTGCTTGTTGTTCTTCAAGACCGCATTCCTCCTTGCAATTACCTCTGCACAGAGGGCTGGAGAGCTGGCTGCATTGAAGGTGGACCCTCCATTTCTCCAATTTCACCCAGACAAAGTGACTCTCCACCCAGATCTCTTCTTTCTACCCAAGGTTTCATCCTCTTTTCATTTAAATTAACCAATTGTGCTTCCTGCCTTTTTTGCATCACCTACCTCATCACTCGAAAGAGCTTTACACTCTCTTGATGTCGAACGAGCACTTTCATATTATGTTCATCGCACGGCTGCTTTCCGTGCATCACAAAGGCTCTGTGACCTTTGGTGGCCCCTCCAGATAAACAGCATCAGAAGCACCAGCTTCCTCTCAGACCATCTCTAGATGAATTGTGCAAACCATTTACCTCACCTATGATTTGGCTGACACTCCTCTTCCAGGCTCAGTCAAAGCTCACTCTACCAGAGCTATAGCCTCCTTGACTGCCTTTGTCCGTGGAGTGGACATTGCAGATATTTGTCGGGCTGCCACACGGGCCACACCATCCACCTTTGTCTCCCACTACCGCCTTGACATCTGGGCCAAGGCTGAGGCAGCAGAAATTTGCACAGTCAAGCTGTTCTGGCTTCTGTACTTTCGTGACGTTCCTCCTCCAGGTAAGTGAGCTTGCTAGTCACCCATCAGCATGCATTCACAGAAACCATGAAGAAGAAAAAGAGGTTACCTACCTTGAACTCTGGTTTTTCGAGTGGTCATCTGTGAATTCACACTCCCCACCTTTCCTCCCCGCTGTCCGTCATGTTTGTTATTGCATGTGGTACAGTGGCAGTCGGTTCTAAGGAACTGAGGCACTGGGTGCCTGGGGCGGTTATAGCCAGCATGTAGGAGGTCCTGGCACCATGTGCTCGGATTACAAAGTTCCGAGGCTGCTCCACGCAATCGTGAATAAACCATTAGTGTAAATTCACAGATGACCACTCGAAGAACCAGAGTTATAGGTAGGTAACCTCTCTCTTTTTTGTCTTGTCAGTTATTGAAGCAAATAGATCTCCATTAATATCAGCTTTCCAGTTACGTTCCATTATGTTCCCTCCCCTTCTTACTTCATCACTTCAGGAAGCTATCACCTGCATTCCATCAAGCATTGCTCTCTTTCTGTCAGATGTCAGCAGAGAGCCGTTTGGGTTCAGAGGTATGTATGTTCTTATAGTAAAACATTAAATCCTGATCAGTCATAAGAATTGGACAAAAGAGACTTTTAAACTCTGAAGCTTTAAATTCTGAGGACATTTCTGGTCATTTGATTACAGAAGATTGAGAAGATTTCAGCTGATTAATATGTATGGCAACTCCTCCTATTAGCATGTCTCAGGATTGTGCAGGACAGGATGCAGTGGCTTCTTTACTTTATTACAATCAAGGACTAGTACTAAATAAATGATAGAACAGAAATATAATACAGTGGTGCCTCGCTTAACGATGTTAATTGGTTCCAAAAAACCCATCACTATGGGAAACATCGTTAAGTGAAACACCATTTCCCATAGGAATGCATTGAAAACCGGTTAATCCGTTCCAATGGGAACGGATTAACGTCCTTAAGCGAAAATCCCCATAGGAAACATCGCTAAGTGAAACAATGTTTCCCCAACGGAAAGCCATTCAAAAGCACTGAAGCCGGCTTCAGTGCTTTTGAATGGCTTTCCGATGTCCGTGTTTGCTCATTTTTAAGTGTCTTACAAGGTTTGGAACATGTTTTACATGGTTGGAATAGTTCGTCTACCTTGTAAAACCTATGCACACTTAGTTTGGCTTTCTTCTGAGTCTTTGTTAATTTTGGGTGATTTTTTGTTTTTACCCTCATTGAAATCCATTGGACTGTCCGTCCAATGGATTTCAATGAGGGAAAAAGCCAAAAATCACCAAAAATTAACAAAGACTCAGAGGAAAGCCAAACTAAGTGTGCATGGGTTTCACAATGTGGACTTCCTAAGCCTGCAGGGCTTAGGAAATAGGTAACGCAGCTGTGAAAGGGCGTCACGCTTGCATCCCTTTGATCCTGAAGCCCTTTCATGGCTGTTTCAGGATCAAAGGGGTGCAATCCGGCTGACCTTTCACTGCTGCCTTACCCACTTCCGAAGTCCCGCGGGGCTTAGGAAATGGGTAATGCGGCTGTGAAAGGGCGTCACACTGGCATCCCTTTGATCCTGAAGCCCTTTCATGGCTGCTTCAGGATCTCAGTGCTGCATTACCCACTTCCTAAGTCCCGCGGGGCTTAGGAAATGGGTAACACAGTTGTGAAAGGGCAGCACGCTCACACCCCTTTGATCCTGAAGCCCTTTCATGACTGCTTCAGAATCGAAGGGTGCGAGTGTGCCACCCTTTTACAGCTGCTTTACCGGCTTTGCAAAAGGCAGGGAAAGGTGCTGCCTTCCGTGTAAAAAATGACCCTCAATTTTTTGTCTAATTACTGTATTTTTCGCACCATAAGACACTTTTTCCCCACAAAACAGGGGGGTGGAAAGTCTGTGCGTCTTATGGAGCAAAGAAAACAGATTCTATTTTCATGTTTTCTTCTCCTTAAAAATTGGTGTGTCTTATGGAAAGGTGCGTCTTATGGAGCGAAAAATACGGTATTTAAGTAAAGAGTGTTTTGTACACAGAAGAATAAAGTACTCCTTACTTATTCCTACTACTTCTTAGATCCAATTATGTATGGCATACCATACAGATAATAGTCTTCTATTTCAGTTGCCCAAATCCCATTTCATATTTGAGCCAACAGAAGAGAAATCGTGTAATTTGCAGTGGCTGATTGTTGCTAATTAACAAGTTCCTGCTTGGATTCTTGGTTTCCTGCCAAGGCACCTAATATCTGCACAGTGAAGAAGCCAGATGATGACTCTTTATTAGTGAAAATTAGCTATTGCAAATTACACCATTTCCTTTCTGCCAGCATAACTACACAAAAATATTTGGACCATCATATTCAAAGGGAACATTTCAGCCTAGACTCAAGTCATGGTCCATTTTTCAAAGAGCCCCAAGCTATTTTTCTTTAAGCATTGTATTGTACTATTGCTGTATATGTGTATATGTATACATATGTATATTTCTGATTTTATTTTTACAACTATGTTTCTAGGTGTCTCAGATTGCTGATAGTGAAAAAAGTGTCATGCTTATGCTTGGACGTTGTTTGCCGCATATTGTTCCTAATGTGCTGCTTGCAAAGCGAGAGGTGAGAAATCTAGATATATTTCTTTCAATTTCCTATGACATTTCTATTCATTTAGAATTGTATAGTATTTATTATTTGGAAAGTCTGTTACTTGCAATCATCTTCTTACTTTTGTGCATGCATCTCTACTCCTAGAGAATGGTTGTGCATCTCTGTCAGGTGAGTTTAGCAAAACAGCATGGTCTCCTGCTATTTAACCTTTTGCTTAAGATCCCTGATGGCACTCTGCAGGGCTGTTATTGTGAGTCCATCTGTTTTGCCCTTCTGTTTGCTTACTTGTGTTAGCTCAGCCCACTTCTAGTGCTTCTGTGTGTCATAGTAGAATTTAAATATTAGATTGGGTTGAATTTGCTAATTAAATTTTCAGTGAGAATTGTATATATTTAAAATACTTACTCCCAGTAATAGGTAAAAGGTATAGACAGGTGGCTAGAAGAATTAAAAGCCACTTTCTTCCACACTCTCATATTCTGACTGCCCCTGAATCTCTGGACCACTGCAGGCCTTGGGGTGGAGTGGCTGAATGTCTCTGCCAGAGGAGCTAGATATAAAAGATGAAAATGCATGCATTTTTAATACGTACTAATAGCACTACCTTTATAGATTGGCAAATAAATAGAACTATAAAGATTGGGATTGTCATATTATTATTATTATATGTAGAATTCAGCATTTGGAATGCAAAATGTTTATGTAGTATCTTTTTTTTAAAGATGAAGAAACATGAATTGTTATGTGGGAGAAATAATATGAATAGCATTTTCCTTGTTGGAAGTCAGGAACAAAACATGGAATAGTGTTAATGGACTAGCACTTTAGCCCTTTCTGGCAAAATTTTTAAAATGTCAGTATTAAGAAGAGTGACATGAACTGGAGATGAGATTGTTATATGTGATCTTGTTTTTTTGTTAAAATTGGTTTTACAGCCAGCTTAGCTTTTAATTATCACTCTCAATACTAGTACTGTATTGCATTTTTCACTTAAGCCCCTTGAGGCTTTTTTTGAAAGGTAACAAAGTCAATAAATGTAACGGATCCTTCAACTTCAGTGACCAAATTTAACATATGTCTCCATTTTTGGCCGATGTATTGAAATTTTGTTCACTAAGACATACAGTTTTTCATTGCACCTAATTTTATAAACTGTTGGTTCTGTGTGTAATAGATTATGTAGGCTGTGTTGCAGGATCAGTTAACAGTTTCTGACTGTTGCCACTGAGCTTGGCAGGATGCTGCTTTAGCTTCTGTTTGTAGCTCCTAGTTACTCTTGGACTAAGTAATATTTCAGGAGCCCAATTTCCTGCTTATTTTATCCTTGCAAATTCTGTAAAAACAGATAACTGCAACTACATAGAGAAAATGTATTCAAGTAGGTAAATGTACATCAGTTCTGTTATATTTACTAGTATTTGTGCTTGCATGTTCAGCCTCCATAATCTGTTTAAAATGTTTTCTTTTGAGACAGTTTATCATGCAACAATGTACAAAATGCTGAATATAGAAGAGAAGAAACATTAATGGTTTATATTAGATCTTAGATAGCAAAACTTAACTACAATAAAATATGGGTGTTATCTTCATTTCACATAATTTCTGCCAGTAAACACCTGGTAGTTTCTATATAACACTCAGTGCTAATAGATTTGAAGATATGTTTGTGTTTATATATGTACACACACTTCTGTGCATACACTTTATATAAATGATTAGTACCTGGTATTTTTAATCTAGATGTTACATGCCTGAAACAGTGCAAAAACAACGAATATTAAGTTAATTGAACCAAGGATGCCTCCATGCTGCAACTGTTACATGTTTTTATTCCAGTTTAAATATACTTTGTTACAAAGAAGCATATAGCATTTGGAGATAGGATTTGCTTCCAGATACAATAGAATATGAATTATACACTAGTTTCTATTGGGGGGGGGTCATTGATTTTACGTGGAGCAAATTATTGATTTAAATATTACCGATGGCATAGATCTTCATAGGCGCAGGCATATATTTGTTATATTGCTGTATTTCTAACCTCATTGACCAAGACTCAAAGAAATATGATGCCAGTTGTGTGAATCTAGGGGCTTTTCATTTGTACATTTATTAGTTTTTCAAACAGCACATCCCATAGTGGATTGATTGCTTGATTGATTAGATTTATATACCACCCTATTAGTGCAGCTGGGTGGTTTACAGCAGCTAAAACATGTAATCATTATATTAAAATAAAATAAAATAGTTAAATTTGTTTGAATAGTTAAACAAGCCAAAACCTTCAAGAGGCGAGTATTGTAAAATATAAAACATGTAGTGGGAAGCATAAGAGAAAACACATACCAGAAAACAAAGGGGGGCATCAAGTAGGGATCCCCAAAAAAGATCTCTCTAGATAGCAGTGTTCTTAAGTGCCTTTTAAATGTAGGGAGGGAGGGAGCCAACTGCAACTCTACTGGAAGCAAGTAAGGCCCTGTTTCTGGTGAACAATATCCTGGCCTCCTTTGGAGTGGCTACTCGGAGGAGCATTGCCTGGACAGACCTCATGGACCAGGTAGATGACCTTGGGGAAAGATTCTCTGACAGGTATCGTGGTTCCAAACTGTGAAGGGCTTTATAGGTGAGCATCAAAACCTTAAATTTGATCTGGGATGTAACAGGTAACCAGTGAAGGCGGGCCAAAACTGGGGGGATGTGGTCAAACCTGCTCACGCCAGCCACCTATCTGGCTGCCGCGTGCTGGATTTGCTGCAATTTCCAGGGCAGCCCCATGTAGAGAGCACTGCAATAGTTGATACAGGAGATGACCAGTGCATGCACCAATGTTCTGAGGGAGTCCATATCTAGGAAGCGGCACAATTGGATGATGCTCCTCAACTGGATAAAGGTGGCTCTGGAGACGGCTATCGGAATCCCAAGACAGAGCAAGGTCCAGAAGTATACCCTGATTGCAAACTTGCTCCCTAACTGAAAGGACAAGTAGTTGCACAGTTGCTTGCACCTGATCCTTATTTATTTATTTATTCATTCATTTATTCATTTATTCATTTATTCATTTATTCATTTATTTACCTAATTCATTGGATATATAACACACCTTTCTCCCAATTCATGAACACAGGGCAGTTTACAAAATGGTGCGAGATGACCGAAAAATAAATTAAAATATTGAAAATGTGTCAAAGATATGATATTAAGAAACCCTTATAATTTTAAAACAAAATCAGCAAAAAGAGACATATATACACAAGAAAAAAAAAGATTTAAAAAAAAACAACATGTCCCAGGAAAACTCTGTATACCACTCAGTAGCCAGAAGCTTTGCTGAATAGAAAGTTCTTTTGCCAGTGTAAGGATGAAGGAAGGAGAAACAGCCTCTCTTGGGTCCAGGAGCAGCCATTGAAAGGGCTCTCATGAGTTCTCACCAAATAGAAACAAGAAAAGGACCTCTTTTGAAGATCCTAAAGCTGAGGCTAGCTCATATGGAGAGATGCAGCCCTTAAATTGCCTTGGCCTAGGTGGGACTTTATAGGTCATAACCAGCAGTTTGAATTGAAGCTTAAAACAGCTGGAAATGATATAGTTCCTGTAACCAGTCTTGATCAAAAGTCTGGCTGCAGCATATTGGACTGATCATTTCCAAACATTCTTCAAAGGAAACACTATGTAAATTGAGTTTCAGAGATTTAAGTGGCATGTGTCACTGTTGCCAGACCAGACATCTCTATGAATAGGCACAGTTAATAAAACAGGTTTTAATATGCTAATACCTTCTTGACCTCCACTGTGAAACCTTGGTGTCCAGGTTCAGGGACAAATCCAGCAGAACATCAAGTTACAAACCTGCTTTTTTAGTGGGAGTTTAACCCCATCTAGAGCAAGTTGAATTCTTATTTCCAATTTCCCTTTTGGCTGACTTGGAACACTTCTACCTTGTCTGACTTAAATTTCAATTTGTTTACCCCTACCCAGTTTGTTAGTGAGATCAGATACTAGATTAAAACCAAAGCTATGTTTTTACAGTTAGATGGAAAGGAGAACGTAAAAAAATATAGTTATTAATGTTCATGTAGTTTAAACTTACTTTACCACATTGAATAATACTGTGAGTGGAAATGTTGACATTTCTTTTGTGTGTTTTGGTGTTTGTATGGGCTAAACGTCCTGACTCATGAACAGCATTGTGGAAAGTAAAGGGAACACAGCTTGGTGGTTCGTGCTTACCCTTTAAAGGTCACAGAAGTGTGGAAATCGTAGTTCTTCTGGCAAGTGATATTTTTGTATCATATTACAGTGAGAGATGAAAGATGATCTAGGTGAGAATTCTTTAAAAGAAGTTATCTTTTTTTCTTTTAAAGAACATGGTATTCCTTCCCAATAAAGGCAAGTACAATTTGATTAATAATAGTGGAAGCCTCTTTCCTTGATGAATGGTGTAGTCTATATTTTTATGCTATCCAATTTTTTCATTGTTTTGTTGAAATGAATAAAGTTAGCATATAACTAACTTCATAAAAGTAATATATATGCATGTACATGATATACGGTGACTTCAAACATTCTGGGTCTATAACTGAATCTCCAACCAAGTCAAAAAGCCGTTGATCTGTATTCTTCTTAGAAGACTTGATGCTTGTATACTTTTAAATTTAAGCATGTTGACTCAGAAGTAAGTGGAAACTACTTCAGGTAAGTATGTGTGGGAATGCAGTACACTTAGGTCAGTCTATATTCCATCTCCTTACTAGAGAGGTAATCATTCTCAAATCTTTTTAACAATCTTCATGCAGTGTAGGTACTCCAGATATAAGCTCTGAGCTCTTTCTACATACCATCCCTACTTAAGAAATATCCCTGTCATCCTACTTCTGTCTTCTCTCTTCTCTCCCTTTCATTAACTATACATGGAACATGCATTAGGACACATCTGCTCAAGAAGGTTTCTCATTGTTTCTCCACTCCCGTTGATAGAAGGAAGTTTAGAAGCCCTGATGCAGCGATGCAGAGAACGCTCCAACCCCATAGTATGCATGAAAGAATATGGCCAATGGACGTGGATACACAACTAATTCCATCTGATACAATATCCAGCTTTCTGCAAGGTAAAAGCATCAGCCTTGTATCTGCCCCATATCAGCCAGTCTAGATTACATGAAGCAACCTTGCAAAAAATAAGCTGATTCATAGATTTGGGTTATTGGTCTCGTCCTATAATGCTCTCTCATTTTGAGAGGGGAAGTATCAATATTTTTTAAAAAAACAACATAATCTTCCACTCCCAAATAATATTGGACTTACATTTTGATAGCAGTTCCCCTGAAATAACACAGTTTATAAAAGCAGAGTTACAAAAGCAGTTAGTAGAGTGGAGAATTTTTTGTCCAAAAACATAGAAGTTCCACTTGAGAATCCTAAAACAACTATTCACATCTCAAAACCTAGACTTCAACAAGCATTTCAGTTTCTGTTGTGTGATGTTCCTGTGTTTCAATTCAAAGTAAAATCTGTATGTTTAATTCATCAGTATTTTGACTATGTTTAAAAATTCTCTAGAATAAAATCTATATTTCCTTCTCCATTGATAGCACATTAAATGTTAACTTATATTAGTTGTCTCCCATATCTTTGGTTCTTACATAAATGATAGCTGGCTTTCTATATAACAGGAGTATAATAACAATATTTAACTGTTGATTCTGATCCAAAGAAGTATTTGGATTTTTCTAATTATTTTTCCATGCTGGGGAAGTTGATTACCATTTCCACAGACCTTCCAAACATGATGGATATTTAATGAAGATGAAAAATAGTTTTGAGTTCTGAAAAACTTGAGAATTCCTGTCTTCCATATTGGCTTTTAATAAAATGTAATTTTTAACATCATATGTTCATGCTCTAAATATATACCACATTTTCCCACTCTAAATCTTGCAAGATGTCACTGTTATAAATGTTATTGGATGCCAGTTGCTAACATTGCCATTTAGGTTGATGTTCCTCTGAAAGACTAACATTCTTTCAGAAAAATTTAGGATCTTTTCTCCCTGGGGTTTTGTTCTAATTCCTTTTAAAACAATATTGCCTGTGATACAGTTTCAGGTTATCTAAAATATATCTTGGACTTCAGTATTAAAAAATATTTTTTCAGGTACTTCTACCATATACATCTTAACTAAATCTTTAATTTTCATCTTCCCCTAATACAAAGAATATTTTCTAAATCTTGGTAGTTTTTAAATTAAATTACTAGAACACATTAGTACTTGTGTTGTGAACACTGTGTTCTGTTTTTTTAAAAAATTAAAATACAACCCTATGTATGTTTATTAAGAAAATGAGTTTAAAATAGTAATCTCATTCTCCTATATTAAAGTATAAATAATTGTTTGAATATGTCGTAGGTTTTCAAATGTTTTGCTACATGTTCAAGGTATTTTATTTGTTTTATTATTTATGTTAATTTTAATCTTAATTATTTTTAATATAATGTTTATCCCTCATCCTAGTATATGATAGTTTACTGTTGTCCTACATGATTAATTTCATGCTTATTTTAAACATGTTTGGCCTATAGAAATAAAACGTGCTCAGAAAACTAAACCAAAGCTGAACTATATCCCACTGAATTCAGCTGAACTTGCTTCTTAGACATTCCTAGAATTATCCTCTAAACACACCATAACTAGTGACTCAGTGAAGAGTTAATATGCTAACAGTTTGAAACCCATGTTTAAATTGTTAATGTGTCCTATTTGTCCATATGAAACTGACTGTCAAATCTTAAATGTTATACCCACCAGCCATACCTCTTGAGGCCTCACAGATTATCCTGCCAATTTCCCCATATCTAGATGGGACTCACTGGGCATCACATATCTTCCCTAACATTGTTTATTCTCATTCATCTTTCACATTCTTTAGTGGTACTAATGAAACCTTATTAGTTCATCCAAACTCTATCTTTAGGATTTTTAAATACAAAAATATATGTCTAAATATCCTTGTCATGTTTCTCTCTTCTTCTGAGTATATTATTATTATTATCATCTCTCTCTCTCTCTCTCTCTCTCTCTCTCTTAATTTATTTCTAACACATTATTTGTAAAATAGTGAAGATTCTAGCTAAACTAAGTGTTTGAAAGTGGGTTTGGTGTGTTTGGTTGATTTTTTTCCTTTGGAAAGAGTCTATTAATATTTAGGCTTCTAGCCTCTTCTTCAAGACCTTCACCATTCTTTCATACCGTTTGTTCCCTTTTCTACAGGCTCTCTTTCGGTTTTTTTTTTTATTATTATTATTATTATTTTGAGGCATAGATGGTCTTTGAAACAAAGCAGGCATAAGCAAAGCAGGGAGGTTACTGAAGACTTGCTTTGTCTATTATAACTCAATAAAAATTACTTAACTCCACTGTGTATTATTTGGATTAACTCTGTTGTGCTGGGGCACCCTCCACAGGGAGTCATATTTGTAACAAATTTGGAAAAGGCCAGAACCCGAAGACCAAAAAGCTAGCTGCTAGTATGATTAGCCATTTTCATGCCATAATAAATGCAATTGGTTATTATAGTAGATAAAATTAATTTAAAATAGTTTGTCAGATTTGCATTTGGGAAACAGGTGATGTAACATTTAAACTGCAACAAGCCTAGAGCCTCAACTCAGTATTTTAGTTTTTTCTTTGAATAATTAGATGCTCTTGCCAATACAATAGCAAATGACTAGACCAGAGGTCTTCCAAGGTTCAGTGGTAACTTTCCATATTAATGCTAGTTAAACAGACAAAAAGTTAACTTGTAAATGTTTGCAGTGTCTGACTGCTTCAGTCAGTGTATTTTCCGTACAGTTGTTGTAGGCGAAATCTCTTGGTGGTACAGTGATCAGAAGTATTACTGATGGAATTATTTCATTTGTATCTCTGTCTCCATTTGAAACTCGGTCATACTAAAATATACGTCCAGTTGTATATAAACAGATGTGACATATTTGAACTTGGTTATATGTCTCTGAAATCTTGGAGCAGGAGCAATAAAGCTGTCATTTTTCTCAGGAGGATACAGCTGCCATTTTTAAAGAAAATGATAAATTTGACTTCATAATCTTCTTTCCTTATCTGGCTATTATTTCTGAAGAAGGACTTTGCTCTGATAAGGAGAATGAAGCACTATTACAAAATCACTGTGTATGCTCCACATGCTGTGTAAATCTTCTATTTTTGTGTTCTTAATTTTTATATTTTTAACCAAGTTATATTTTCTTTCCTTGCCCTGCTTTCATCTATAGTCAAGAAAGCTTTGACATAATGGAGAATTTTAAATTTGTTCATGTTCAAATAATCTGTCAATGTAAAGATCTTCAGAAAACTTCTCATTATCCAGTTGTTCTGCTATAATAATCACCTTAATTTTGTGAATGTTGTAAAAATTTGTACATTGAACTCAAATGTCAAGGAAAGGGGCTTAGACCACATTGCTTAAGATCAGAGTTGCCTCTGGGAATTTGTACCATATGATATGGAGTTTGAGTCTGAAAAGAAAGCTTTTGAAAGCTTTGCATTCTTTTTTATGTTCAAACAGTGAAGTATAACTGAAATTTAAATGACATGTAACTTCAGGTATTAACCAGCATAATCTACTGATAACAGTAGGACTACCTTTCACAGACTGAACACTAAAGACATTGCAGAAAAAGCCAGGAGTTAGTAAAATCCGAATTGTCTACATTTTGCCTATTTACCTGTAAATGTCTTACAACTGTTGAGGTGAAGTGTCCAATATAAAGTTATGGATAATATACAACTCAAGAGTTATGATTTAAATAGGTTATAAGTCATACCGGACCTTCTTAATTAGGTGTAATGGAGTGAAACCACAAGGACTGACTCATCTTGCATCTTAAAGACAAAGAGATTTATTTGGCATGATGTTTCATAGACTACAGCCCACTTTTTCAGATACACCATAGCATTATGGAAAATCTTAGCAGCAATTAGCATTGAGTAGTCCAACACACACTATAAAAGTTCTTCAGAAGTTGGGACTGCCCCATTCACTTCAAAAGGATAGAGATGTTTTGGTCACATGTTGCACTTCTGAGTTTACTAGAATCAATACATTGAGTTTGGTGTTTCGTAGTCATTAACGTCTCTTAGAATGCCCTGCTTCCTTATATTACTCTTGTTGCTGTTAAATTTAAACGAATTTCTTTTCTTCCATTTCAGCAGGAAAATTCCAAATTGAATATTGTTAACATTTTGTCATTTCTATGGGCAATTGAATTATGTTTACATCAATAGCAATTTGACTGTATTTTTCTTCTCTCTGAATGTTTAAATATTTCCTAAGCTTTAATACATCATTTGATAGCTTTTTTACTTTTCCTTCCTACTCGTAATCTCTTAGGAATTGATACCACTCATACTGTGCACAGCTTGCCTCCATCCTGAACCCAAAGAGAGAGATCAACTACTACACATACTATTCAACTTGATCAAAAGGCCAGATGATGAGCAAAGGTATGTATGTATTATACAGAGAAATTTTTCCTGTTTTAATTAGAAGGCTGTTTGAATGTAAAAAAGCAACTTTCTACTTCAATAAGAACAATATAGATCTTTAAATCATAAATATCAGTTCATATATTTTGGGTTCATTCACAAACATACACTTGTAGTAATAAGTATTTGTAGTGTTTGCTCAGTCCTAGAAGTAGAAATTGCTCACATAAAGTTGGACTTGGTGTGTGACAAGGAATACAAGCAGCAGCTTCTTAACTAGCTGCAGTGCATCACTGTGATTTATGGTGTTACACTTATGCAAGTGTATGCAAGCAATAGGGTTCTGGCTGTTGCTTAATCTGCTTCATAAATCCTTCTTGATTTCATCAACTGTACTACCAATTACACTACAGTTTGTCATATGTTTCTGCATAGCAGCACTGCTGATGCATGTTCGCTCTCCCCCCCCCCCTGACCTGCTGGCACACACTGCTCTTTACCTCCCTGTCACACGATCTTCCCTTCCCTTCAGTGGGTGAGCTGGTGAGAGGAAGGGGTAAGGCAACACACGGCAGCAGACATGATGAAGGGGCACAGATTACTTGATGCCTATTTCTACTGCAGATCTTCTGTTCAAACTGTGAACTGCGATATTAAACTTTGCTTAGTTATCTTCAGTTTCTCCTATCTGCTTCTCATTTTTTGGTATTTTTATGTTTTGCTTGTTTAAAATATTGTATCCTGCCTTTCTCCTTAACAGAATCCAAGGCAGCTTATATCATTAAAAAGAAATTATATTAGAAGTTAAAAACAATAAGTTATAAGAATATTTAAAAAGAATTAAACATATTAAAATGGATAAAAGCATTACTAAAACAGATTTAAAGAGCAACAAAAGTACAAACAGTCCCAAAGAAAGCCTACTAGAAGAGAAACGTCTTTGCCTGCTTGCAGAAGGACAGCAAAGGCAGAGCCAATGTAGCCTCTTATGAGAGAGTTTCAGAGTCTGGGAGCAGCCACAGAGAAGGCCCTCTCCCATGTCCTCACCAAATGCACCTGTGAGAGTGGTCCGACTGAAAAAAAAGGCCTCTCCTGATTATCTTAAAACCCGGGGAAGCTTATAAGGAAGATGTTTGAAATAGCTGGGACCCAAGGCATTCATGATTTACATTACATTTTATGGATTACATTAACACTTTATATTGCATCATATTGCCATATTGTATTGAAAATTCATAAGCTTAGTTTGAAATCAATGGTTTATAGTATCTTGATTAATATGTTGCCTTTTATACTTTTTTTACATGTTTTTATAATAAGTATATTTATAGTTAATGCCCCAAAGTCTGGTAGGTTTCATGTACTGTAGATATTTTTGCTTTCATATGTCTATAATGCAATGTACATAGATATATTGTCTTTCAAAGCTACAGATACTAGTAGTTTTAAATGTGTTATGTTATCTATAGCGTAATTTTATCTATAGCGACATATAAGCAGATCAGGTTTTGCATGGAACACATAAATAAGTGCCAAGCCATGCCCCCAAAAAAGGTTACAATGAGCACTTTCTGGAAATGGTAGTAAACACGGGGGGGGGGTAGTTGGTAATACTGAAATAATACTAAATTTAGCTTGTCACTGCTTGGAGGGCAGTAGGTGGCAGTTGTTGAAACATGGAGCAGGAAAAGGAAGAAAGGACTTCACCTCTTTTATGTCTAATCTGTACTCCATTTATTCCTGCAAATGGTGAAGCCAGTAGCTTGCTGACACTGGAATATGGCTAGAGTGGTGCATTTTTAAATTGAAATAGTTTCTGTGCTTCTGTCCAAAATACAGTGTTTGGAGAGGATCTTACCAGTTGTACTTTTTAGGGATGTTATCTGTAGAACAGCTGTCTCATTTGGATTCAAGTTGCTACTGTGCATCATTCCAGAAGAGACGCACAGCTGCTGCACACCAGCCACTCTGTGATTGGCACTGCATGCACTTCTGGTTTTCTGGCTTGGATGAGCATCCACAGCAGCATTTGGGGCATCCAGGCTGGTGGGCTTGTGGATGGCTGAAAGCAGCAAGGAGAGATGTGGCGGGAGTGAACTCTCCTTGTTTGGCTCCTCAGACAGCACCAGGACTAAGTGTCTTTGTATTAAAGTCTGTGAACAAGGAGATCCTCCCATTCACCCAACAGAGTTGGGTCTTATCCTCAACTCTGTCTTCTAGCCACCACAAAAAGCTAGGTCATATGCTGCATATTTATTTATTCAGCCCCTTCCCTATTGCCTTTATCCTTCTGTATTCTCAGAGATTGGTACTAACCTATCATAGTCTTAAGTTGAATATTTGCAAATAGAAGTTGGCAATTTAATTAGTGTTTAACTTAACTTTGGGCTGTTGCATCTATGTTTCTTCAGTGGTAGAATGCTCTCAGTGATGAGAGGATCCAGGAAATAAAAGGTGTTGCTAGGCAACAGAGTCAGCAATGAGCTAAATAACAAAAACCCAGCTCCCCATTCCAGGGAACTTCAGATCTTCCCTCTTTAATATTAGGTAGGATTTTTTAACCTTTCTGTTTCTCATCCTGCTCTAAGATCTTAATTGAGCAGCCTGATGAAGAGGCTTAAAATAAACTAATGAAAATGGAAGGAGATGAGATTATAAGGGGAGCAAGAAAAGAAAGGATAGAAGGATATTTGATTTGATGAGAATGGAGTTTAGAAGAATTATTATAACTTCCTTTTTTTCTGAAATGAAAAATGGGCAAGAGGAGGGAGAAGTAAAATCATGGATGGGATTATTCACCTTCATTCTAGTAAAGCCTTTGATATAGTAATGTAAATGTAATACAGTACTAATTTAAAGTTAATCTTAAATGTGGAAAACATCTTTATTTCAACATAAACATATTTTAATTAGCTTTTTAGGTTATTAACAATCACTTTGTTACAATTTTTCACCTTCTTTGTGGTCTCCATGAATTCACACAGATGGACATGTGCAAATCCTCGTAACCTTCTAGAGCATAGAAAAAGAAATATCGTTATAGACCCTGTACTCCCACATTGCTTCTTTGCGCCTCTAACGGTGATCCCTCAGTTAATTTTTGCCGCCACGTAGGATGCATTTCAGGAACTTTCTGGAGTTTAACATGTTCTTCCCTTTGCTAAGTTACTTACCTTTCTTCTCTTCATGAGTGTTCTTTCTTTTTACCTACAAGAAACAGTTCATAGTTAGTGGGGGGTTTTCTCCTCCATTCTGCTTTCCCCCTTTTGGGAGGATTCCCCCCCCAGCCTCTGCCCTAGGACTTTTATGGCCTCTAAAGCAGTGGTCCCCAACCTTGGGCCTCCAGATGTTCTTGGACTACAACTCCCAGAAGCCTTCACCACCACCTCTGCTGGCCAGGATTTCTGGGACTTGAAGTCCAAGAACATCTGGAGGCCCAAGGTTGGGGACCACTGCTCTAAAGGACCCTTCAAAAAGTGCCAGAGCTGCAGGAATAAACTTCCCCATTGGACTGTCATTCCCTTGCTTGTTTTGTTTGGGGAAATGTCACAAACCCCAGTCTTGCTAGCATTGCAGGGATTTCACCAAGACCACTATTAGGCACCAACACGACTGTCTAAAAGTTCACCTCTGGGAACCTTCCTTCTGGGCTCCCTCCCCCATGGATCCACTTAAAGATTTGGCTTCAGGTCCATCTTCAGACCCCACCACCTCTACCACCACCAAACCATCTATGAAGAGGTCAAAATCAATACTTCAGCCTCAAAGACTTCGGTTTTGAAATCCATATCTTGTAAGAAGCTCAAGAAGCCTTCCAAAACGGACAGGTCATCCAAAAATTCTGCTTGGGATCAAGACCAATCCCAACACGTCTCTACTTGGAACTGAGACCAGCTGCAAAAAGTCTCCATTCAGGACCAGGACCAATTTCAACAGGTCTCTGCTGCACCTGCCAAGCCCATCACTCTTCCATCAGAAGATGAGGTGGTTGTCCTAGTGCACCACCACCATTGATTGTCTTCAGCCATTTTCTGGATTGGGCCCACAACTTTCAACCAGCTCAGGGACAGCCCTTTACTATTGCTGGGCTCCTTGCTCTCTCTGCCTTCTTCTCCTCGGCAAACTATCGTTTGGCAACCCCCAGCTACAATCCTTTTGGAGATGCTGCCTCCACCCAGGCCCCAAGACAGAGGGACTATACAGCCTCCCAGCACCAACCCTATTACCCTAATACCTACCAGGACCAAGAATGGCTTGAGCCTGGCATCAAAACCTGCTACCACCCTCACTACCATGGTGAGCACACCACCTCCCAATACAAGATGCTTTCGGCCTCCCCCAGATGGTGCTACACCTCTGGTCCGTAGTTGGTTGCCCTGCACCGATTCCCTTGGACTTACGCCACACATACCTGTCCTGTTTTTCCAGGCATGATGCACACATACCGACACCCAGCCATGCCTCCCTCAACGGCAACCCCTCTTGATCTCAGCTGGACTCCTCAGCATCATGCCCCTGCCTCTGCTCCAGCTAGGCCTCATGACAAGCATCCCCATCATTTCTACAAGATGGACACCACCTCGGCTCCAGCACCAAAGCACCCTCAATACCATCATTACCAACAAGTTCCATCACCTCCACCTCAGGGGCCTGAGTCCACGCCAACCTGAGCAATCCCCAGCACTACTGCCACAACCTTGGATCCCTCCTCACTTGAGACCAACAGCCTAATTCCATCAGACCACATGCGATTACCCTAGCAGGAGAAGTTTCAGCACTTCGGTTCCAACATCTCACCCGGCTCTGATGCAGCCTCAGATACCTCTGGAGACAGGCCATCTGTGCTAGTCCCAACTCTTGTCTCCAACATGGCAGATAACTACCCACGTTCTCCCTCTTCAGACCTCCAATCGTCTCCAACTTGATCCTCCACCTTGCAAAGTTTCTGGAGCTCCAGGCTCAAAAACCAGCTCCCCAGGATTTAGACCCTCATTGTAAGCATATTGACAAGGATTCCTCTGCTCCAGCCTAACTTGTCATGATGCCCTGCCTCACTGGTATCACCAAAGATGTCTGGGAAAAGCCTTCAAAGATTCCCCCTACCTCTCATTGCATTGATAGCTTCTAAAAAATTTTCTACACCGGAGTGAACTTCCTGGCAAAACACCCACGTCCATAGTTGTGGATACTGCACTAACTAGGTCCAGAGGACGCTTATTCACAGTCCCAACAACAAAGAAGGCCGCAAGCTTTATCCTGTCGACAGACGAATGTATCCTACAGCCTCACTTGCCCTTCAGATTGCCAACTACCAGGGAGCCATGAGAGCCTATACCAGATACCTAGGCAGTAAAATCCAACCCCTTTTTGGACAAACTGCCAGATGGGCGATGCCACCAAGCCCTCAAGCTCCACCATGAGGGCCAGGCAGTTGCAGCTCAACAAATGCAAGTGGTGTGCCATGCTACTGAGTGTGCAGCCCACCAGGTAGCAACAGCCATGACTCTCCATCACCATGCCTGGCTTCATTGTGCCAGCTTGGCTGAGAACGTGTGGGCACGCATCAAGACCTTCCTCTTGACGGAGAGGGTCTTTTCATAAGAAGACTGATGACAGTATGGACAATCTCCAGAAGAAGAGTTCTGTGGGAAGGTTTCTTGGGGTTTATCCCCAGATGCCACAGTGCCAGTTTCAGTGCCCAGTGTCCTACCAGACTTCACATCCTCCTCAAATTGACAGGCAGTGTTACACACCTCCATCTACAGCTGCTTCCTATACTTACAGGATTCATCAATCTAAATTTTCTCAGCCCACAACCACAAAGCAACTAGGCTAAAAGTCTAAATAGTCTTTTTGACTTTGTCCCACTGAAGCCTCTGCTGAGTCTATTCCCACTCTTGCCCCATTTCTATCCCAGTGGCAAGAAATAACATCAGATAAGTGGGTACTGCCTATCATCCAACATAGATACATTATAGAATTCAAATCGCCCCCTCCTGTGAATGTGTTTAGGTCCACTTTCCCCTCCAATATCCTCCACCAAGGGGTCCTTGGCCTCCTGCAAAAGTCTGCCATAGAGCCTGTTCCTTCATCCCAAATCTTCTCCGAGTACTTCACAGTCCAGAAGAAAGATGGGGGATCTCTGTCCCATCCTGAACCTCTGTCACATCAACAGTTGCATCGTGACCACCAAGGTCCATATAATCACCCTAGTACTAGTCCTCCCCCTTCTGTGACATGGAGACTGGTTCGCCGTCATCAAACTGAAGGACACCTACTTTCATGTCAGTATCCACTTGGGTCACAGACACTTCCTAACCTTCACCCTGGGTCCCCATGCCTTCTGATTCAGGGCTCTACCCTTTGAACTTTCCACTGCCTCACTCATTTTTACAAACTGTATGTCTCCCATTGCTGCTTACTTGTGCACTCAGGGCATCACCGTCTACCCACACATAGATGACTGGCTCCTGGTCACATCATCTCACCAAGCAGCCCAATGAGATGTCTCTTTCACCTTCAGACCATTCAGAACCTCAGTCTTTGAGTCAACCCCAGAAAATCCATCCTGCATCCTTGCAGGCAGGTTTCCTACATTGGCGCCCTCCTAGATTCCCACTGCAGCTGTGCATTTCTTCCCTTAGAAATACAAGAGAAACTTGCTATGGTGCTTCCACCCCAATGCAATCATCACAGCGTTTCAGGCCCAGCGCCTGTTAGGTCTGATGACATCTACCACCTCAGTCATTTCTCATGCCAAGTTACACATGAGGTCACTTCAGCCTTGGTTTATACACCAATTCAACTGTCTTGCAGACCCACAAAGCCAAGCCATCTGTTTTCACCCCCACGCTGAGTCTCCAGCTCCAGTGGTGGTTGCTTGCCCACAATGTTGCCCTTGGTTGCCCCTTCTGACCCCTTCAGCCCAAGCTTCAACTTACTACTGATGCTAGTCTCCTTGGCATGGGACACTTACTGCACAGCCCTTCACACTCACAGGCACTGGAAAAATACATTATTTTCTAAGGTCTGGAAGGTTCTCAGGATTTACACATTCACAGAAATTACCCATCTATGTGAAATCACAGAGATCCAATCGAAGAACCATAGTTATGGTAAATGACTTACCCATTTTTGCCTGTGCCATATCCCATATCTATTTTGAGAGTGTTTAGATCCCCCAGAAAAGGGATCTTCTTGTTCTTGTTTCCATTCACACAATGGTCCATTACTCAGGTAGTTCCAGTTCTTCAGAGCTTGTGCAATGAGGTGTCTAGTACTTCCTAGCACATGTGTAATCCTTGTAGTTTTTAACAACGTAGTGAGTGTTCCATATTTCACCAAAATTTTGTAATTTTCTGTTAAAAACCTAAGTTTTTTAGTTAAGATATCAGATACTCAGAATTTTTTCCTATAAAACTGAAGATAATGTCGACATAAACCTGAACATGTACTTCCTTCCAGTGGTTACCAGCTACGTGTCAGTTATTGAATTTTTTAAAGAATTAACAAGACTGTAGATGCAATGACTGCTTAATAAGTGATGTTTAATCAGAATGGACTCTTTATGTACAAAATCCAGTAGAATTGCAGCCTTTTTCTTTCTGTGAACAATTAATGTTGTAATTTTCTGGCTTCCAGTAACATCTTTGTAATGTCATTTTCTGTGTAACCCTTTCAGTTTGTTGTACCTCTTTCTAACCATGCAAACACCCAGACTGAATTTATTTTCTATTTATAGGCAGATGATTCTAACTGGCTGTGTAGCATTTGCTCGGCATGTTGGACCAACACGTGTTGAAGCAGAGCTCTTGCCACAATGTTGGGAGCAGGTAGTAGGATGGACTAATTTTTCTGCAATTTATTGGCTTCTGCAAAGTAACACAGTCAAAAATATGTTTTCAATATGTTATATCTTTTTGTAATAATAATAATTGAAATAAGCAAATCATATAGAATGTGGGTCAGAAACTAGATAGTCAGTGGGTGTGTTGATAACTGATTCGTGCCTTCGGGTGTTCTGAGATCAGAACTGCAAATCCAAATGGAATGGAAGAAGAATTTAGAATCTTATAATAGTCTTAGCTCTACAGAGCTGGAAGGGACCCTGTGGATCATCAAGTCCAGCCCATCAGGGAGGCATGGTGGGAAATCAGATTCCCAACTTCTGGCTCTGGAACCAGATACCTAAACTATTATTCAGCAGTTCCCTAATTCAAGCCAACTCGAACTGGCCCTGGAAGTGCACCTAAGTAAAAGCAATGGGTTTACAGGAATATCATGAAAGTGCATTTTTAAATGTCTTTCTGGCACCTCTGTTCACTAGTCTGTTGTGATCCTTCTTTGGCTCACCTCTTACATGGGAACACGAAGATTTCAGGTTCAAGGCATGCTATGCATACTGACTCTGTTAATTAAAAAGCTTGTGATAGTATAATAAAGAAAAATTCCCTAATGTACTGGTCTTATTGAGAGATTTTTCAAATGAGTGAGAATTGGGGAAACAAAAACAGACAAATAATAAAATTATTATCACTGAACAAAAAGAATTTTTAATGGAAAATTTATTTTCCCTTTCACAGATCAATCACAAATACCCAGAGAGGCGGCTGTTAGTGGCAGAATCCTGTGGAGCATTAGCACCTTATTTACCTGTAAGTGTTTTCCTTTTTTTTTCTTAGACTAAATTTAAAATCAGGAGACAAAAACAACAAATAGAATCCAAAGAACCAATTAGGTTTTATTGCTACCCCTATGGAATTTCTTGATTTTCTTCTTGTTCCGTGCTGGTGGAAAACCATGCTATATCATAAATTTAGAAACTCATTTTGACTTTGACTTTTCCATTGGGCATTGAATACTTCTGTGCTAGAGCAAAATATGTAATCACCAAGGATCTACTGGAACCACTTTGGAATTTTTGGATCTCAGCTATGAACGTCAGTTGCTTCTACAGGCAATATTGATGCATACACTAAAAGCAGCATTAGGAAGAAAAGTAATATTAACAACATACGTCAACAGTACGCCATTTACTGCAACACTGAAGAGAACTGGGAAAGCAGTACAATCCAAAAGAAGAACCACCTAAATAGCATCAATTTGAAAGCTTTATTGTATAGCCATGTTTCTGCCAGGGACCTAAAGTGATGATCTTGGAACCTGATCAATTCTCCAGTTACTTTTTTCTAATCTAAATTAAATCACATTGTTGTCAAACAATTATATGTCAGAATGTTACAATATCAGTTGCCATTAGTGTTTCACAGATTCATTGGCTGAAATCTAGTTGGTGGAGCTATGTCACACAACATGGATGATGCCATCAGACAGAACTTTCTTTGGCTTTTTGGGAGCAATTTAAAACCTAATTCCTCCACCACCCCACCACAAGTTACAGGTTTCCCTAGGAATCCTCTTTGTTGTGGGGAAGCATTGGGGAATTGTAGAACATGGTAGGGGGTGATTAAAAATCCAAAATATAGCAGTGCTGGTCCCAGCAGTGAGATCTGGACCAATAATAGCAAATGTTGGGCTTTAAATTGTCCCTTACCACTTGGGGGCATTACATTGTTTCTTACAATTTCATGGCTCCTGAAGGATTCCTCAGGATGAAGGGGATCCTTGGAGATTTCTGAAACCTGAGAGGAACCAGGAAGATTTTAAGGGCTACACCATGGCTTACGATGTCACCCAAGTTGCATTGTCTATGTTGCACAACAAGATTTCAACCATTTTTAAAAGTTCATATAGGTGTGTGTATTATTAATGACTTGTGTTTTCAGCTTTTGTGTAATGTAAAGTAGCAAATACTAGTTTCTTCTCTGTTTTCAGAAAGAGATTCGTAGTTCATTGGTACTTTCCATGCTACAGCAAATGCTGATGGAAGATAAGGCAGATTTGGTGCGAGAAGCTGTAATCAGAAGCCTTGGTATCATAATGGGGTACATTGATGATCCTGACAAATACCAACAGGTGCTGTGCCTTTGAAGTATATTGAGGGGATAATTGTGGAATCACTTTGTCTCTGAACAAACTGGGAATATGTTTCATGCTTTCTAACAAAGCAGCATGCATTGGTTGGAGAGAGAATATTCTATAAGATCAGGGAGGAATTCTCATTATGTAGACTGTAGCTTGGGGGTGGTAAGCCCAAAATACCAACTAACTATTAGAAATTTTATTTGATCAAATTCATAGTAAACATTTGCTTATTGGGGAATATTTTGAACATATAAATGAGGAACCCCATGGTGCAGTGGTTAAATTGCAGTAGCCGCCCCGAGTAGACCTGGTCTAGAGGGGCGGGGTAAAAATCGGATGGATGGATGTATGGATGGATGGATGGATCGATCCAAAATTGCTCATAACCCAGGTTCATTCCCAGGTAGCTGGCTCGAGGTTCACTGAGCCTTCCAGTCTTCTGAGGTTGGTAAATTGAGTACCCAGCTCACTGTTGGTGGGGAGAGCAATGCGTAGGTTGCATAACTAAAATTGTAAACTGCAATTTAAAGAGTGCATTAAGCACAATGGTGCAGTGTATAAGCAGCACAATGTGCTTTTTTTATGTACATAAAATTATTCAGTGGTCTCTTTGTGTATTAACAGGGGTTTGAACTACTGCTTTCAGCTTTGGCTGATCCCTCAGAACGAGTCGTTGGTGCAACTCATCAGGTGTTTTTACCTGCCTATGCTGCCTGGACTACAGAACTAGGAAATTTACAGTCACATCTTATACCTACATTGCTTAATAAAATTGAAAAACTACTCAGGGTAAGTATAAAAATGTTTCCTGCTCGCAAATTTTTGTGAAGCTCATATAAATCATCTATTTTTTTAAATACATCTCTGCCCAGATTTGTAGAATTGTTAATATGCAGTGTTATAACCTCAGGTTGTTTAATCTATTCTGTATGGCATTTTTAGTGTTTATTTTATCTATGAAGCCATCGATTTACTTCTGTGCCCTTACCACAATGCAAATGCAACAACTTGCTGCTGTTGTGTAAATGTATACTTGCTTAACAGCCTATAATAACTTGACATGCGACAAGGTGGCAGTTCAGTGCTGCAATTTATGCAGTTCCATTTATGCTGAGGCAAATCCACAATAGTTCTGGCTGTTGCATCTTAGAATAGTAATTCTGAAAGCTATTAAATTAGTGTGTGATTATTTGATTGGTCCATGAAGTGTTCATTGTTTTTTTTCCATATATGAAAAGAAACAGTTGAATCATGAGTGAAAACCAAAGGTTTGCATATGACACAGGAATTTCTAAAGTATGGGGAGTCTTTAAGCCTATTTAGGGATGAAAATCCTGTACAACATGGAGGAGTGCTAGCCCTGCTGTCTCCAGTTTTGTTGCCTTCCTGCATGTGAAGGGTAACAGTTTGAACAGGAGAGTCACTACCATTCATGGAGGCCTTCCATGTAACTTAGAATTCTGGATAATCAGGTTCTTCTTCGTGGCCTCTGTGAATCACACCCTGGGTGATCCGGCCTGCGCAGAGCCTCATCAGAAAGTTCTAGACCTTCTGCGGTAGCAAAAAACACATTAGAATAAGGCCACTTCCCCCTCGTATAAGTACCTTGGCGCCAAAGCTCCTCTTTCAGTTTCTTTCAACCGCCGCATTGAGAGCCTCATAGTTCTCCTTCTGTGAGTAAAAGAGAAAGAGAGTTTATTCTTGATTCCTTCCTGTTGTCAATCTTTTTTCCTTTAAACTTTTAGATCAAATTCATTATCATCAGAGATTTTTTTTTCTACTTCGCTCAGCCTCTGGCCGCAGCACACACACACACACCTCAATCATCGTTTTTTCTCCTCAAATTATTTTCTCCTATTCATGGCCCCTTTGGGCCTGTTTAAACACTGTGTGGTCTGTGATAACAAAATACCACACTCCGACGGCCACGGCAAGTGTCTTTTTTGCTTGGGAGAGTCACACCAGACGTCCTCCTGCCAGCATTGTAAGAACTTTAAGCGCGGAGTCCTCCATTCTTGCTTATCCAGATAAAAACTCCATCTTTGAGAACAATCCCTTCAACCAACCAAAATGGCCCAACCTCCTTGTAAGGCCACCTCACAAAACAAAGCAATGGAGAAGGCTCTTTTTGAAGCCTCAAAACAACATCCATTGACCACACCATCCCACTCCAACGCGCTGTCCACTTCGTCTAAAACTTCCCATAAATTGAAGCGCTCAAAACAGAAATCCTTGATATCTAAGCCCTCCACTAAACGTCAAATGTCCACCGAAGCCTCTTTGGTTCCAGAGCCTTCTCCACCTAAAAGACCTAAACAGCATAAATCTAAAGCTGCAGTCATTTCTCAGCAGCCTCAACAAACCGCCAAATCAATCTCTATTGGTTCGCCTTCTGACAATGATGGAATCTCCTCTCATCAACCCTGCTCCCAATCACTGGAATGGGATGACAGAGTTGATTGCTTAACATCTTCTGCTCCCAGTCCTCAACACTCTGTTCTTTTGAGCAACCCTTTCGTACTTGCTTCAACTGACAGGATCGACTCCGAACAACTAGAGACCATAGTTGCTTCAACTGACAGGGTCGACTCCGAACAATTAGAGACCATACCTTATTCGGTAACATCTCATCATCCACCACAACCGCCTCAGAAACATCAGCCCCAACAGTCCTTGGAGCCATCTATTTCATCATGTGTGGCTCAGACCCGCGTTCAGCACTCTCACTGGGTTGCCATTTGCCCCAACCAATGCTCGACTGGTTGGGCACAAACCGCAACTGCCAATCAGCCAGTTGCTCTATCCAGCTCGGCCATACGTTCTTATGGCAGGCCTTGATCTCGACAGCTATCTGTGTCGAAACGGCCATATCACCATGACTCACATCAATTCCAACCTGCTCCCTACCTGGCACCTAAAAGACCCAGAACGGTCGAACAATTTTCTTCTACACGCAAGGCTTTTACAGCTCCAGCCTCCCGATACTTTGCTGCTAATCCAGATGAGGGAAATCATTCCTCTCACTCGGCATCTCCAGCATCTATATACTCCACTGCTTTACCAGCTTGTCACTTGACCGATCTACTCAGCCACACAAACTCTCAAGCTCATGAATGGGAGTTAGACCAATCAGTTTTTCTTCGCCTGTACGAAAGATGGGGCAAACCAACTCCCGACCTCTTTGCCTCCCGTGTGAATCGGAAGTGCAAACAATACTGCTCCTGAGACAGCATTGGCAAACACTCCCAATGAGATGCAATCATCGGCCCATGGCCCAAGACCCTCACTTACCATTTGCTGCTGTTCCCACTTCTCCACAAGGTTGTGGTTTGCCTACAACTAGACAAACCCGATGCCATCGTCATAGCCCCTTGGTGGCCGATAGACAAACCTGATTCCATCGTCATAGCCCCTTGGTGGCCGAGACACCCCTGGTTTCCAGTCCTTCACAATCTCTCATCAGACATTCACCACCTCTCTTACCTGCCCCACCTCCTCACGCAGAACACCCAGGTACTCCACCCAGACTTACCTGTTCTGCACCTGGCAGCGTGGAGGATTCTGCCTCGCTAATGAACGTCCTCCATCAATCAAAGAAGCCCTCCACTAGAAAGGCTTACCTGTATAAATGGAACAGATTCAAATCTTTCACTGAAGCCTCTTCATTGTCTTCTATCAACCCATCACTTGATACTGTTCTAAGTTTCTTGCTTCATTTCAAGTCTAGCGGCCTTTCCCAGGTACTCCACCCAGACTTACCTGTTCTGCACCTGGCAGCATAGAGGATTCTGCCTCACTAATAAACGTCCTCCATCAATCAAAGAAGCCCTCCACTAGAAAGGCTTACCTGTATAAATGGAACAGATTCAAATCTTTCACTGAAGCCTCTTCACTGTCTTCTATCAACCCATCACTTGCTATTGCTCTAAGTTTCTTGCTCCATCTCAAGTCTAGCGGCCTTTCCTTCTCTTCCTTGAGAGTTTACCTCTCCACCATACTTTCTTATCAGCCCCCTAACTCTCCGGCAGCTGATTTGTTCAAGCATCCAACATTGAATCATTTTCTTAAAGGTCCATCTCATATCTTCCCAGATAACTGCCCGCCTTCCCTGCAGTGGTCACTAACACTAGTACTGCAACAACGTCCTAAAGCCCCCTTTGAACATTTAGCTTCAACTGATTTACGGCTACTTACCTGTAAAACAGTTTTCCTTGTTGCCATCACCTCAGCTCAACAAGCAAGTGATTTAGTGGCCTTACGTCATGATTATCCTTATTTACAGTTTTTTCCAAAGTCAAACTATCCATGGATATTTCTTTCCTCCCCAAAGTCATCTCAAACTATATCTAGATGGGTTGCTTCAACCATTCACCTCGCGTATCAACTGGCATGCAAACCAGTCCCAAAAGTGATTCGCCCTCACTCCACCAGAGCAGTGGCGACCTTTACGGCATTCCTACGCGGCGTACCTCTTCCAAATGTCTGCGCCTCTGCCTCCTGGGCACAGCTGTCCACTTTCATCTGGCATTATAGACTTGATCTCTGGCAGAAGTCTGATGCGGCCTTTGAACATGCTGTTCTAGCTTCTACCTTGGTGTGACACCCTGCCTCTGGGTAAGACAGCTTTTTAGTCACCCAGGTGTGATTCACAGAGGCCACAAAGAAGAATGATAGGTTACCTGCCTGTAATTGTAGTTCTTCAAGTGGACCTTTGTGATTCACACATCCCGCCCGTCCTCCCCACTGTCATGCCATTCTGCTTAATTTAGCGGCAGTTGACACAACCGAAATGGGAGCCTTGGCGCCAAGGTATACGAGGGGGGAGGGGCCTTATTCTAATGTGTTTTTTGCTACCACAGAAGCTCTAGAACTTTCCAGTGAGGCTCTGCACAGGCACGGATCACCCAGGGTGTGAATCACAGAGGTCCACTCAAAGAACTACAATTACAGGTGGGTAACCTGTCATTTCCAGCTGATGTGGAGATGTACTTTGGGTAGTGGAGACTCCAGAATTCAGACTAACCCGTCTTCCCATGGTAGGAGAGCAACAAGTGTGACTACCAAGGGAGTGGGCTAGCATTCTCCCTGACTTGGCTGTTGATTCCATATGCTTCTTAATGGCTCAGTTGTTCCTAGTGGTATGGGAACATAGAGGAGGTCTAAATATCTGTCAGATTCCCAGGACATGTTTTTCAAAAATGTTTGTAGATTGCAAGGTCAGACGTGAACACTTGATAACATACATGTTGCCCTAAATATCTGCTAGAAAACTAATCAAAGTATAGGGAAGGAGTTGAATGCTATAGTAGAAAATCAATGAGAGTAATAATGGACACAGTTCAAATAGTACTAAACAGTCTCAGGTCAGAGTATATACCTATATTTCTCACCAAAATCTGTGAAATCTGAAATGTTTAACTTAGTTGTGAATTTTGTGTTCATTTACCTTAAATATTTAGTGCATCTAAGCATGTCTTAGGCTTGCCAGTGAATGGATAGGAGGCTACTTTAGAATGCTTGTATTTCACTGTGGAAGAAAAGAGATAAAAATACAGTAAATACTGTATGAAACTTTCAGAAAAGGCTTAGGGTAAACAATTTCTGATAAAATGTTCTGATAAATAGTTGAAGTTGTAGAGGAGAGTTTCATGCAACACCAATATCTAGTCTTTCCCTGATAGATTTTAGAAGACATAAAATGAAAATGCCTTTCTAATATCCTGCCAATGAATGTATTTATTATTCAAAAACTTATTTTGAATAGATACATATCTTAGTAGCAAAAGACCAGAGGTTTGACTTGGATTTCTGTTTTCTTTCAGGAAGGCGAGCATGGGCTGGATGAACATAAGCTCCATATGTATCTTTCTGCATTACAGTCCTTGATCCCTTCTCTGTTTGCATTGGTGCTGCAAAATGCACCATTCACAAGTAAAGCTAAGCTTCAGGGTGAAGTCCCACCCATAGAAGGTACCAACTTCATTTTTTAAAAAAAGATTTATTTAGCAAAGTTAAATGTTATTCTTTTCATTTCAAATACTTTATTGCTTCATAACCAATCAGGCTGTATTTGACATTAATGTAAATACAGATAAACAGTCACATAAGCATAACATAATAAAATAAGCATTCTCCAGCAGGTGTCAAGTTGTAAAATTAACTTGAAGAAATTGTGAAGCAGGCAATGAATTCCATCTTTCTTCTTGTTTAACAAATTTAGTAGTCCTATAGGAATATATAGTAGTCTGTGTCAGCTAGCAGAAATAAAACTGCATAAAGGGGAGTTGTTCTTGATCCCAATTGTTAAGGGTCTAAAATTTAGATCCCTCAAATCTGCATACAGAGGCACTCTGTTAGAAAGTGTACCATGTCCTCTGTCTTAGAGCATTCTGCTGGGCAATATCTACCCGTACCATGCTGGTCCATATAACAACGCTGGATGTCTTTCAACTGCAAAAAGTTCAGTCTGCATTTAATTAGCAATTGTCTCAGCTTGTGTGAGCTAATAAAGGACAAATATGGGGGCATCTTTCCAAAAGGCAAAGATAAGCCTTTGTATATTTTATTGGAATGGCAGCTAACTACAGATGCCATGGTAGTCTGGATCATATAATCTTTTAATAATATCTTCTTGACCAGCCTCATTTCTCCTCCTATGCAGGAAGAATGAGGAATAGCCCAGCTTAACTGTAATGGTTGATATTTTAGCTGCCAAAGAATCCCATTTTTTCATAGGCCAATGAAACCAAAATTGAACCATATGGTAACTTATCTTGTGCCAGAACAGCATGGCTCCTTTCTTAGTGAGAGTACCCACTAAGTAGCATGATGTCTTAAAATTGACTATGGACATGGAGGTAGGTCTTGGTACCCTAATGCTCTGGTTAAAAATTTTTATCAGACAGATTCCAGTATTGTAGTATTTGAAGAAGCCCATCTGGGGATGCAATTTACCTTTATACAGTTGTATTAACAGTGCCGCCATTGTTCTACTTGATGAAGAAGAAAAACAATAAATAGCATTGGCTATGAGTAGAAGCAAAAAGAAATTCAATTAAAAGTGATTTAATTATTTGCTCCTTATGGCTGAAATCCTTTTCCATAGTTATAGAAATTATTAGCAACTTCAGATACAACAGATATTACCTAGGGAAATTTCTTAATTTATAGCAATTTACCACTAAAAGCTACTCCTTTTGTTTACTTGCACAACAGGATTTAAGCCTATGAAGGTTAGAGGCATAATCTACAAACAAGTTTTGTGAAATATGCATATTTTCCTGCAATGTTGTCAGTGCTGGCATGTAAATATCTTTCAGAAGTTATTCTGATACTTCCTTGAATAGTAAAGAACAGAAAAAAAGTATTAACTCTGAACAGTGTCTGGTTCCCTAGTATTTTCTCTCCTTCGTTACAAATTACCAGATCTGTGCAAAGACCCTGTAGTACTAGTGAAGTGAAAGGTCAGCCGTCAGTACATATAATTTAGCAGCATGTATTTCTTACTCATTGGTACATGAGTCTTGCAGCTGTTTTTGCTTTATGAGGAACGGTCAGCTCGGAGTATTCAGAAGCAGCAGGAATCCAGCGAATCAGGTTGAAATATCCTACACCTGATGTAAGTGATGCTTTAAGGTAGAGTTGAGCAACTTTCAGAAGGCCAAATCTGCCCACTCCCAGGAAACCCCTCCCCTACCCAAAATTTTAAAAAGGTATGTTCTCTCAGAAAGGCTGCTCATACCCTCTGGAGGGTTGATGGGGCAATTTCACATTGTTTTAGGCTCCACCAGATCTACTTTAGACTTGTGATAAGGCATTTTCAAAAAAGCCAACTCCCCCCCTCCCATAGTGAAAATGCCCCAATGTCCACTAGAGGGTGTGATAGTCTTTTTCAATGAAAAAGAAATAGGGGGGTGCTTTAGGGCGTGCATGCAGGCTCCATGCAACCTGAAGACCAAGTTTGCCAATCCTTGCAATAGAGGATGATAAAGCAACTTGTGTACTAGCTCCCAGTCTCTAAATACCATTCATAAGCAAATGTTTTTCTGGTATTTTACAGGTATGGATACAGTTCATAAACAGAATTTGGAGTTTAGACATAATGTTAGGGTTTAGACCACTTTAGTCATGACTAAATGGGATTAAATCCCCAAATTATATTTTACATGAAATAAAGAGTGAATAGTGCTTTCTCTTGATTTTTTCAGAGCTATTTTATTAAGTAAAAGATACTACGGTTTCCTGCATTCATCAGTTTTCTTCTAACCTGCATTGGATTAATCCAAAAGGAGTATTTTCTAAATCTGCTCGTTATTGTTTTTGTTTGGTGCTAGTGACCAGATTCCCAAGGCCTGTGTCGCCTCTTCAAGATGTAGCCACTATAATTGGAAGTCGTGAACAACTAGCTGTGCTATTACAGCTATATGATTACCAGCTGGAACATGAGGGTACCACCGGCTGGGATACCTTACTATGGGTTGTTAATCAACTGTGAGTTTTTTGTTTAATTCGCTGAAATTCCTTCAAATTGCTGCACACAAGAGACAGGCTTTATTTCTTTTTTGTTTTCCTTTAAAAATCTATTGCATGCTTTCCTATTTTCAGTTCAAAGTGACAATATACATAGTGTTATAAATTCTGCTTTGGGTTGCAATATTGGATGTTGTGTTTCCTTCTGAGGACATTAATATGTGTCTTTTTGGCGAGCTCCCAAAACTCTTGGAATTATTATTGTTGTGATATTAGCAAATGAGGGGGAAGGGGATTTGCACTGTTAAATATATAATGCTGAAATATAAAAAGTATTAGGATGTTTACATAAAAGACTTGTCATGTCCACAGTGTAGCAAACCTAATGAACAATGAGTTATCTTTACATTTTCAGGTTGCCACAGCTCATAGAAATAGTTGGCAAAATCAATGTAGCCTCAACAGCTTGTGTACATGAATTTTCAAGGTTTTTCTGGCGACTTTGTAGAACATTTGGAAAAGTCTTCACAAATACAAAGGTAAACTGATTCACATCTAGATAAGATAACGAAATGTAGAAATATTTCATGTCATTCTACTTGTATATGGAGTGGAATCAAAAATTGCTAAGATGAAATGGTAGCTTCTACCATTGAAAGGCTTTGAGCTTGCCTTCATTTAAGCAGTGTGTCTTTCCTATTGACACAGAGTTTTTATATGAAAATTCATTTGCTCATAAAGCTATTCTGCTCAGCTTTTAAACCAAGATTTCTTAACTGACCTTAACTTTCTATGAGTTTTCAAATTTACTTTGCAAATTTGTATTTGAATGTTTGTATTTCCTGCTTGTGACTGAAGGTTTATTGCAAGGATTCATAAGCTCATCTCATCATGAAGTACAGAAAGTCCACCATCACAAATGATGAATTTGAACTGTTCCTTTCTAAAATATATCTCCATAGCATTCTGTAAAGCAAAGAACTAAGCACTTCTATTCCATCATCAGTCTTTTTTTAATTGGGAAATGTCAGGTGATAGATGTGTCCCCTTAAATCTATGACCAGCAGCCTATTATGGCTGGTGGTGAAAGAAGAGACAGATGTAGATAGACTTGCAAAAGTCTTATGGTAAACTCTATTTTGGTAAATTTTGTACCTAATGCAAAGAATGAGCTATTTTGAGAAGGCTTCTGGTTGTCTTTGAAGCATCTTCATTTTTGATACTGGAGATGATGGTGTCTAAACAAATGAGATGTGGGCCTAGCCCTAACAGTCTACTGATGTTAATAGATCCAGCAAATGTACCGGAAGACATACCCTGAAACTACCTGGCATAATATTTGTATGCACTGATACTAAATGCAAGCATCAGCAGTTGCATTCAACAACATTTGGCCTCAATAAGAGGCAAAATTTTCTCTCACACTGTCCATCCTTATGCAGGTCTCCAAAGAAGAGAGATAGCATCCTGCGTCTCCCTCCAATTCTGTCTCTGCTAGTGAAAAACCATCATAAAAAGGTGTTGCCAAAATGACAGTGGTCCACACTATCAGAAATCCTGTTTCAATGTCTGATTATGTCATTGAGATTCCTGTGATAAACAGATTTCTTATGAGACAGATATAAACTTGTGTCACACACAGCTGACAAGGTCTCTTTAAAAGAGAAGTTTTCTGTAGTCTCAGAAGATTTTGCAATCTTTTTACAATACTTCATTCCTTTTCTCTATGATTCTCTTTGATCCTGTCAATAAATTGAATGTCCAGAAAGCAAGTATGTATATACTGTAGGCAGGTATATGGAAGTAAAAATATATTTAAAAGGATGAATATATATTTCAAAACCTACTGCTTCATATAACACTTGTATTGTTCAAATAACAATTATAAGATTTTAAAAGAATTACTGTATAAAAAGTAGCTCTAATTTCTATTAATATAACTTGGGAAAACGTATAAGGTATTCAAGAGACACAACGTGGATATATGTTAAGTATTGTCTTAATGTCTAAGACGTTAAAAATTCAAACTCATATAACTCACTTAACATTATAAAGTTATAAAACAGACAGAAAATTTGCAAGATTATTGCATTAGCAATGCAGAGCTATTTGTAAATCACATCACATAATTGAATTGTTTATACTGTCTTGCGAAAACGGGCACAGGTTGAATGGAATATTTCTGTCATGCTATCTTATCAATAGCTCTGTTCCTAAGCAAACTGGTTGTAATGTAAACTATTTCTTCATGAAGCACTCCTTCAATTTTGCTTTCACTTTCCCAGCAGTCCTTTGAGAGACTTTCTTAAAAAGGGCTTTTCATCTTTAGGGCAACACCTCTGCATCCCGTACACTCAATTTTTTTCTGAATATTGACAATGTTGCCAATCCAGTCCAGGTGTGGTCTGTGATTTGTTCAATTGCCGAATATGTGTTTGGCGCTTCAACACTCTGCCTCCTCCAGCAGGTGTCCATTTGGAAGCAGTGGCCTGGCTTCTCTGAGGGATGCCTCTGAGCGGGTGCCCATCAGAGGAGGTGGGGTTTTGAAGCACCAAACACCTGTTTGGCTGCTAAACAAACTTGTACAAACTGCCAGACCAGCAGTTTGTGCCCATCCCTATCTGTGACCTATCACAGGGTCTTGACATATCCATATACTTGAACTACCGGTATGTTTTTCTCTGAAGATTCTATGCTGCATCCTTCATGTAATTCTCCCTTTATTCATGTTTGTTACAGTGATGTTTATATATACAAAAAGTATTTTAAAGCACTATTGTTTGTTTATACAGTGGCCAATATTTCCGTTAATACCTTGCTATGTATAGGAAAAGAGTGTTTTCAGTTTGCTTTTCATTTTTAGGTAAAGCCACAATTCCAGGAAATCTTAAGGCTTTCTGAAGAAAACATTGGTGAGTATTAGATTTTTGTATGTCTGTGATTTTTACTGGAGACCTTAAAAATACGTACAGGACCTACGAAGTATAAGTTCATTACCTCTGTAATTGAGATATTAGACCTCATTTACACTAAGTATGTTTTCTAATTTTGTGTGTTAAACCTGCCCATTCAGTATTAGCCTACTGCAAAGTTAGTCAGCTACAGTGGTGCCTCAACTTACAAACTGAATCCGTTCCAGAAGATGGTTATAACTTGAAATGGTCGTACGTCGAAGCACCATTTCCCATAGGAATGCATTGAAATGCAATTAATCTGTTCCGCCCAGGGGAAAATTACCAAAAAACAAGACACTGCAAGACCCATCGGAAGCTCGATTAGGGGGAAATTACCAAAAAACAAAACACTGCAAGACCCATCGGAAGCTCGATTAATCGGTTCCAATCAAAGGGGGAAAAAACAAACAAGCCTGCAAGACCCATCAGAAACGCAAAAAAAGAAAACCAAAAAGCAAACAAGCCCTGCAAGACCCATCGGAAGCTCGATTAATCGGTTCCAATCAAAGGGGGAAAAAACAAACAAGCCTGCTAGACCCAGCAGAAACGCGAAAAAACAAAGACTGCAGGACCCATCACGGCACAGAAACATAAACCACCCCAGCCCAAAAGCATGCTGCAAAACCCCCCCAGAACAGGCAGTTTTTAAAAAGCAGAAAGCTTTACCAGGCAGTCCAAAGCCTCCTCCGAACGCACACTCTCTAACTGCTGGGGCGAAGGAGCTACAAAAAGCATCCTCTTCACCAACCAATGATTATCAGTTTGAATTCCCCACCTTTTTTCCTGCCTGTTTTCCTATCATAACTTGAAACTCCGGTCGCAATCGAAGAAAAATTTTGCGTCTGGAGCTGGTTAGAACTCGAATTGGTCGTAAGTCAGGACATTCATCCGTCGAGGCACCACTGTACTTTTAATTGTATGTGCTCTTTATGCTTTTTAAAAGAGCATAAATGCCCCTTTTATGCTAGTTTTTCATTACCTATATTTGTTGAAAACTAGCAGTGAATGCATTTTATTTTATAAATGTACATAGTAACATTTTCACATAGGGAACTCAATGTAGTACTAGAAATGCCTAAAGTTTTATTTATTTAAAATATTTCTATCCTGCTTTTCTCCCCAGAAGGGATCCAAGGCAGCTCACATCATTAAAAATATCATATTCAAAAGCTAAAAATATGAATATTTTTAAAAGAATAAAACAAGTATTAGATTAAGAACAGTAAATAAAATCAACATTAAAACACATTTAAAACAACAGAGCACAACAATCCATTTTAAAATTCCTCTCAGATCACCCACTGGTCATTAAGGGAAAGTAATTTTAATCTCTTATGTTTTCATGTTTTAATCTTTTTAATTGTATTTGAAATCATATATTGTTTAATTTTTATTTTAATATTTTTATTTATTGATTCTATTTATTTATTTATTTATTCAATTTATATGCCGCCCACACTACCCAGAGGTCTCTGGGCGGCTTACAATAATTAAAATTCAACACAGTAAAAGATAAAATAATTAAAATACAATTAAAATACAATTAAAATTGCCATCAGACCCACAGCTAATATTATTTCAATTAAAAGCCTTCTGGAACAGGAAGATTTTGACCTGGCGCCGAAATGTCATCAGTGTCGGCGCCAGACGAATCTCAGTCGGGAGGGCATTCCATAGTCTGGGGGCAGCTGCCGAAAAGGCCCTTTGTCTACAAACCGTCCCTCTTACCTCCTTAAAGGACAGCTCTTTCAAAAGGGTCCCCTGGCTAGATCTTAACTGCCGGGTAGGTTCATATGGAATATTTAACTTACTGTGTTTTTAAATTGTGTGAATTTTAACGTGAGCCACTTTGGGTCCCTTGTTGGGAGAAATGCGGCAAAAAAATAAAACTAATAAATAATAAATAAATATCTGTTTACTTCCATTGTAATAGAAGTTGGGCCAAAAATATGAACCATCTGGATTTGAGTGGTGTATTATAGGATTTGACAAATGTACACTTCATTTGAAATCAGCAGGTTATTGCTTTTTAATATATATTAAATTTTAATTTCTTAATTTCAGATGCTGCGGCAGGGAATGGGGTGCTAACAAAAGCCACAGTTCCTATCTATGCAACAGGTGTACTTACATGCTATATCCAGGTAAACAGTTCTTCAATCCTGAATGTCTTTAAAATATATTAAAGTTTAAATGAGAATGGTGTCATCTCTTTAATATAGTGTGTATGTGCTTTAAATCAGTGGTTCTTAACCTTGGGTTACTCAGGTGTTTTTGGACTGCAGCTCCTAGAAGCCTTCACCACCAGCTGTGCTGGCTGGGGGTTCTGGGAGATGCAAAACACCTGAGTAACCCAAAGTTAAGAACCACTGCTTTAAATAGATAATAGCCGTGTGTAAATGTTGGCTTGGATTCTAAAGTAAGTTAGAGACACTAAAAGAAGAAATGTTTTCCCAATCAATCTATAGACATAACAGAGCAGACTTCTTCTGATTGGGGAGATTTGTCTCTCTCTCAGAACTCTCCACCCTGTATTGTATGGGAGGAGCCATCTTTCCCCCAGAGAGGCATTTCAGAGTGCAGGTACCTGGAGGCAGAGGTGAAAAACTTTGCTCCCATACACTTTCTTTAACAGTAGAATCCTGGACATGCCTGTATAGAAGACAGCTCTTCTGTGGAACCTAGTCTCTGTTTACATGTCTCAGTCATTATCTAATTCAGAATGACATTTCTGATGTTGTTTAATAATAAACAAATAATGGTGCTTTGCCTTGAAGAAGCATTTTGAATCATTTGGCCCTAAAGAAGACACTACAGTGGTGCCCCGCTTGACGACGATAATCCGTTCCAGCAAAATCGCTGTTAAGTGATATCATTGTCAAGCGGGGAAAAAAAATATTGGAATGCATTGAAAACCGGTCAATGCGTTCCAATAGGGAAGTACCTCATTGTCCAGCGAAGGTTGCCCATAGAGAACCGCCGATCAGCTGTTCAAAGTCGCTGCAATGCGAAGCTTCCCTCCAAAAAGCAGCCATTTTGCGAAGGGAGGGAAACCATTTTGCGAACGGAAGCCATTTTGCGGAGCCAGAAAAATTGTCGTTAAGTGAACAAATGATTCGCGAAGCAGGCTCCTAATCAACATCAAGCGGATTTCCCCCATTAGAACCATCGTTTTGCAATCACAATAAGGATCGCAAAAATGTCATTGTGAAGCGATTTCAACATCATGCAGGGTAAGCGTATAGCAGGGCACCACTGTACTGTGATATTTCAAGTAGCCCTACTTTTCTCAATGTAAATGTTCTGTCCATGTGTCAGAAAGAGAATCATTCCCCTGCCAGAAAGTTTATTTTAATTTTTTTTTTCTCTTGGAAATTCAGAATCACCAGAATATGTCATTCGCCACAAGTGGAAAATCAAACTGCTTGCCTTTTTGGAAGCAGGAATATGAGTCTTACAATAAAATATCAGACTAATATTCGCATAATATGCCACAATAATCCCTGCGGTTTGCCATTACGATATATTAGCTGTGGAGAGTGCAGCCTTTTTAGTGTTCTCTGCTAAAATAAGCTGAGAAGAAAGGGGAATGAGATGGATTTGAAATGCTGTTTTCAGTAAGCAAAGTCTTGAATAAAAATTTAATCAAAATGGGAAACTTGATACACATCATGACAGCTGACATGAAACTAAGTAGCAGCCAGATGGTTCTTTTCATTCATAGCACATGCTATTAATTAATCTACAGATAATGGTAGATGTGAGCAATTATATGTTTTTACCAGTTTTGTAGTCTTGCTGTCTTCAAAGTTTCTTGAAAGTATTATACTGCTGTTGTCAACTTGAGAGTTGATTGTTGGTCTAAACTTCAGCATTGCTTGCTAATACCAGAATGATGACCTGGTACTGCTCATTCAGTCTTAGGAGTCTGCTGAAGGGTCAAGAAGTGTCTCTGAAACAAAGGGTTACACCTAACACAGGGATCCCCCAGTTATTTCTAGATATTGTCTTGAGAAATACAAGCTTAGATTTTCAGACGTCTCTTGACAGAAGTTGCAAAACTAAGACTTAACTTTTAAAAAACTTGCTTCTAGGAAGAAGACCGCAAGCTGTTGGTTGGATTTTTAGAAGATGTAATGACAATGCTTTCATTATCCTATGCTCCCCTTGACAGCCTGAAAGCATCTTTTGTGGAACTGGGGTAAAGTATATTCTATAACGAGAATGGGAGCAAAATGGTGTCTCTCTCATGCAAGTGCAATTATAACAATTTAGCTTCCAATGTTTATTGAACTCTGTTCTTAGATGTGCTCATCTGATTGCTTATAATAGTTTTCTAATATCCACACAGTCATCCAGTCTTTTTTTTTCAAATTGTCTTAAGTGTGTTATCACAGAAAATAATTTTTGTCAGGAGCTAACAAACTGATTTTAAATTGTTAGGAGAAACAGGAAAGTAAGCAGTTTATACAACATGTACAAAATATATCTACAGGTACAGTGGACCCTTGACTTACAGATGGCTTGACTTACAGACTTTTTGAGTTACAGACTTCTCTGGCCACAAAATTTAGGTTTGACTTGCAGCCTGAGAATTGACTTACAGACCAGAAAAAAACCAAAATGGAACAAAAACGGCCTGTTACGGGATTAATCGGTTTTCAATGCACTGTAGGTCAATGGAGACTTGACCTACAGACTTTTTGACTTGAGAACCGCCTTCCAATATGGATTAAGTTGAACATGTACAAAATATATCTACAGGTACTTCATTTTGGTTTAGATTAAAGACTAAGGTTAGCCAGTGGCTTCACAGAGAATATAAAGTCTGCAGAGATGTTGGGGAGGGAGAGAAAGTGCAAAAGTAAGTGAAGCTGTTTCAGGAAGAAAATACTATTGATAGTTTAATCTTGATTGTTTTGTGTTTTCAGTGCAAATCCAGCATATCACGAGTTGCTGCTAACCGTATTATGGTATGGAGTTGTCCATACTTCAGCACTTGTTCGATGTACAGCTGCTAGAATGTTTGAGGTAAGAGTTTAAAAGACACAAACACTGTTTGGAAGTGTTTAATAGCATGTTTTAGCAACTGGTGACCCAGCGCCCAAATGCAGCTCTTAAGGAGTGCCATGTTCCCCCACTACTGCCTCCCATATCCACCACAACATGCCTCCTCAATTCTTAAAGCAAGTTAGAGATGGCACAGAGGGAATTATTAGCAAATCAAGAGGTAATTAAGAATATGGACCTGTAGGGTGGGGTTCTAGGGTGCATTCTCATTTGGCATGGGGCAACCAGCTGCCCTGGAAGTGGCGTGCAGCTAGTGTGGCTTTTTTTTGGGGGGGGGTGTCAGTGTGCTGCATGAAAAGAGATTGCTCTCTAAGAGACTTGTGTAAATGTACATTTGGTCCTATGGGACATCTTTCTTTGGCTGCCTGTTGCTGCTAAGGAGAAAAAATAGGGGACAAAGGAAAATAGGCCTGCTCCTTACCCTGTCATCAGTGCAAGGTGACCCACAACTATAGTTAGTTGATCACTGAGGCTTTATGTTGTCTAGTATATCTGGAGATTATAAAATGTATTCTTAATAGTTTGTGATATTAGCTAATATCCTGTACAGCATTTATGTGCATGTGGAATTCCAGTAGTAAAAGCTGTAGCAATGATCTGACATGGTGCCAGGCACACAATAAGCATCTTGTCAGATCTGCAGCTGGAGTTTTGCATGCATGAATATCAAGCAGAGTAATTGCCATTTTTAAAAACTATTTGTAAGACGTTATATATTATGTAATGTACCAAGATGTTAACCATGTACAATTCCAGATCCATAGGATCATAAGCCTTCTAGCATTTATTACTTTATTTTCAGTATCTCTAGCTTGCATCTACTTGCAAGTAGTTTTCGTGGTAACTGGCCTTCTGTTTCTAACCTGAATGCCAGGTTTCTGCTTTGCATGCTTAAAAACCTCCATTGGCTGTAAGAAATCATTTCAGTACGGCATTCAGTGTTTAGACCATATAATTTGTTAATGTCTTGGGAACTCAGTGTTATCTATTATCTATTAATGCCAAATTCTTGTCAGTAATAAAATCCAAAATTGTGTGCATACTGTAATTTGAAAACCAAATCCATGAAAACATGTCGGAGTGTGGCATGTTTACCTTGGTCCACTTATCGTTGCTGCTGCTGGTTCACAGAATATTAACTGTTTCAGTAGAGGGAGAAGCCAAGAACTACCCTCTATTTATCACCCTTGTTTCAGCCAGACAGCAATTACAACCAGCAAATGGAAAATCCAGGCTTCAGTTTTCTTTCTGACTACAAGACAACTTCTTATTTTGTGCTGATCTAATATAATTTTTTTTTACATTTTTAGTGTAGTTAGCTGTCTCAAGCATGCTATGGGAAGGTGGGCTATGAATTTTAAAATTTCAATATGAGTACACTAACCCTTCATCTGCCTATAGCACCAGTCTTTTAACTTTAAAATCAGTATAGCTGTCATGCAGAAGCTAATCTGGTTGGGGAAATATTTGTTCATAATAAGAGTCTGTTTGCGCATGGTGACGTATGGGCCTTCTCATCAGGCAGCAAAGAGTTTCTTTTAATTATATCACATCTTTTGTCATAGATGACGTAGCATTTTGGGAATGGTGTTAAAATGAGAATAGAACCCTTTCCCCTCTGAATTGTTACTGCATCTTGAGAAACAGTGTGAAGCTAGCCCACAATATTATTCTGTGTGTCTGCTTCGTGGACTAAATTCTTTTTATGACAAATAAGAAGTGTCCCACAGCCTTTATTCTAGTTAAATGTTTTGTTTAATTTCTTCCTAAAGCATATGGTAGAAATGCTCTTTCATATACTGTACTTTCTTAGTGTGCCCTTATTAAAAGAATTGAAACAGTGCCAGCATGCTGATGTCTTCCTGCTAACTAGAATATACATAAAGGGTTGGTAGGATAGTCAGGAAATGCAGTTGTCATCTGAAGCTATTATAAACTAACATGCTGTTTTTTATCTGGCTCTCCCCTTTCTTCTCTGTGTGTGAGCATGTTAATCACCCATACTGCATTATGTGAATCATCATTCATATTGTGTGCTGACCTCAGTGTGGTCCTGGTTTGAATACAGCCTTTGCACAGTACAAATGTGATTGTGGGTCTGTTCATCATTTGATACTCTGGTTAGGCAGATTTACCGTAGTCCTCTGCTGGAAGATAAGATAACCTATTATCTGTTGGTTGCTTGGATGTTTGCAAATAATCCTGGAGCGAGTAATTCAGCAAAGCACCCTGAAACAAGAGTACATACTCAAAATCATTTGCTACGGGTTAGTTATGACTTTAACAATTAAAGATTCTGAGAATACACCCTCGGTTTTTGAACAGAACACATGGGCACGAACAGAATTTCAACTGGAATTTTGTTCCATGGGGATGCTAGCTTAAAATTAAAAAGACCAAAGTCAGTGCACCCTTATGTCAACATGCTGTTCCTTTATACTTAGTATCAAAATATACCTTACTTCAAGAATTCATGTTGTCGTATTGTAGCATCCAATTATGTCAAATCTTCCTTGCAGTGTTTATCTCAAGCTTTGTTCAGGGAAATGTTTACTAAGGAACACAAAATCAGTCTGTTTTTGTTTTTTGTTTGTTTTAATCCTAACTTTAAAGCTAATGACTGAAATCCTTATTGTAGCTACACCTGCAGAAGGCAAATGGCATGACTTACAGAGTCTTCTCACTGGCACTTAACAAGTTCCTGCTGGGTTTTTGAATGGACATCCGCACACTGCACTGGCATACCCGAAAAAGAGCCAAGGAGGAATTTGTTAATTAGCAGCAAGAAGCTGCTATAACTTCTAGCATTCACTTTCCTCGGGTGTAACTATGCAGTGTGATTTTTGGCTAGTGCTTCTTAAACCTCTAATAGCCTACTGACTTACCTTTGAGCAGAAAACCCTGCTTGCAACTAATATGGAATCATACCATTTGTGCAGGCATTGCCATTGTGCAAGTAGAGGTAATTTCTTATGCAATTGGTGCTATCCTCCATTATTACAATGGTAGGATTTTCAGCTCAGTGGAAGTTCAGTGCAGTAGAGGTCAGAGAGAAATAAGCTGCTACATCATTATGGAAGAACTGCACTGATAATTCACTGTGACAACAACCTGTTCTTAGTATTCTAACATTATTTCAGCTCAGATTTGTTATTCAGCTTGGAAACTTACTTATGGAAATATGTTAGCATTTCTCATGACTGTGATGTATAAAACAAATGAGCATTTCATATTAATCATAGAAAGCAGTCTGGCTAGAATATCTATCTAGAAATTCCATATTTTTAATGCTGGAAATTTTGGTTAAAAGCTGTCACCCTATGCCATTTCCACTGTAGCAGTTTCCCAGTGACTGATAAGTATACATTATGGCTTTCAGGCTACCTGAAGCATGTACGGAAGGAAATTTAACACTAGGAAGAAATTAATCTGTCATTTCTAAGTTGTTTTGTTCAATATAGGGCATGTTGTATTAAAAAAAAGGTTGCCTTGGAAGAAAAAATGTGGAATCTATGGTTTCTAACAATGTCTGGTGATAATAAATGGCAAACATGTCACATTCAATGAAATCTTTGGGTTTTTTTAGTATTTTAACTGTTGTTTTTTCCAAAGCCTTTATGAATAGATCCCCACAAGTAAGAATAAGATTTGATTTCTTTACCCTTACATCTCTTTCTAGACACAAGGACAAGTTACAGTGACCTCAGTGTATACTATGCACCTGTTGCTTAAAGAAGTGGTTCCCAAGCTTAGGTAACTTAGGTGTTCTTGGACTGCAGCTCCCAGAAACCCCAGCCAGCACAGCAAGTGGTGAAGGCTTCTGGGAATTGCAGTCCAAGAACACCTGGGTTACCCAACGTTGGTAACCACTGGCTTAAAGCATTTATAAAGTATGTTTAAAATCCTGCAACACCTTGGGGGTGAGGCTTGCAAAGTCCAGTTTGAAATGTTCACATAAGGTCACATTTTTAAAAATGTGAAGTTACCTCTCTCCATTAGAATTTGTTCTGTGCACTGTAGTTCTTGTACGTGCTGGTCACATAAAATCATTATATAAATGTCTGTTGTGTATGACACCCCCCACTTGTCCCTTGCACAAATGATGGTTCAATTGCAAAACTTACACATCCATGGTAGAGGCCAAAAACACAACCAGAATGGCAACTTAAGAATGCAAGTGCCTAGAATACCTTCAGGGTTTGTTTGTTTTTTTAACAGCTCCACAGTTTGTCTAGCTCATGCTGCCTGCTTGTGCCACTTGCACTTTCATCGTGCCTTCTTGCATATTTATATTAAAGGAGCACTTTAGTGTAGTGGTATTTGCTTCTAATTTTGGTTTGCTTTTTGTGTTTTTCTTCCTCTTGGTTGTGCTGTTCTTCCCATGATACTGTGCTCACTCTTTCCGTGCGTCACCTGTGATACCCCTCTGCTCTACCCACTCAGCTGTTGGTGAAGGGGGTACATGAAACTCTGGTAGCTCAGAGAGTTGTTCCTGCTCTCATTACTCTCTCCAGTGACCCTGAAATGTAAGTTTCCTGACTGTCTTATTCAACTAGCATCCCTCTTACAACCTGTTAAGAAATAAAACCATCAGGCTGTGTTCTTAATATTCTGATGATGAAACATAAGAACAGTATAAAGTACCTAAAAATAGATAACGCAAATATTTTAAAGACCTTGCTACTTTAAAAAAAAATCAAAGCCTACTCTGAAAATACAACTTCTGTTAACTGTCGAAATTGTTATAGATGGAAACATATACTGCAACTTTCAAAGCTGCAGTTCATTCTAAAATGAAACACTGTCATTTGTAATACTTTCATGGCCTGGACATGTGCCAAAGGCCATTTACTGGTGTTTGTTTCTTCCATGCTGAAGAGGGATGCTAATCTCACTAACACAGTATTGCCAGTAAATGCTGAAACATGAACAAGAGTCCTTAACAAAGTTGATGCCCTGTGTGGGTGACTAAACTCAGAGAAGCCAGTGACTATGCCTGCCCATCCTCAGTCACAGCTAACGTAATTATCGTTACAGTTTAAAACCATTTTTATTGCATGTTGACTGGTTTACAGCTGACTCTTCGAGGCATGAATGAAGCCTTAGTTGACAAGCGGGTTGCTCCGGCCCTTGTTACCTTGTCCAGTGATCCTGAATTGTGAGTTTCTGACTGTGATCTTGAGTTAATCCTGTCTGTCTGTCTGCCTTCCCCCCCCCCTTTTTTTAATAATTTTTATTTTGAGCATTCTTCCTGGTCTGTCTCTTGTCATTGCTAGAAATGAATATAACTTTAAAAATACTGATTTTAAAATTGTATTAATTTTTATTGAAATCTGCTTTAATGTCAAGGACTGAAGAACTTTGTACTTGTTTGTTCCTTTTCCTTTTTAGTTCTGTAAGAATAGCCACAATTCCTGCTTTTGGCACCATTATGGAGACAGTGACTCAAAGAGAGGTAGGATGCCTTCACATTATTCTTAGGTGATGGTAGCTGTTTGTAGTTAAACTAGCGAATTCTCTGAAGAGATGGCCACACAGTTTTCTTATTTACTGTATGTCCAAAGTTTCATAGGTACCGATGCAGAGGGAATGACTGAAAACTTCTGTTTTCCTCCTTATGATCTCATCAGTGCAACACATTAAAAATGTATATAGATGAAACAAGAAAATAAGCAAATTCAACTTCAAGTGCCTAAAGTTGTTTGCCTTCTAAATTTGAGTAGGCCAAAGTCTCGAAAGGTGTTTTTTTTTACACACACACACACACACTCACATAACGTACAGTATACATGGCCCAGTAGTAGAAGGAATGTGGTGCAAAGCAGGGTTATGTAAGAAAACTTCCAGAACATGTTTCCCATCTAATGTGACATGCTAGTATCTAGACATAAGATACGTGTGTGTGTAAAGCATAAAGAGATTTTCAGCCACTGTCATGATGTAATCTTATAAGGCAAAATAGAACAACTGCCATATACTTTTTTATTCAATCTGCAAAGTAGTCAAAACCTTACAGATCAGTTAATAATTAATATTTTTATAACAATAGTTGGTAACTCTAGAGGTCCACTATATGTAGAATACATTGCCATGCTAGTTAGGTTGAGTAAGTTTTCAACTATATTAATTAAAGTTTGCTTCTATGTAAAAGTGTTGATAACTTCTGTTACATATCCTCTTCAGCTCTTGGAAAGAGTTAAAATGCAGTTGGCGTCTTTTCTGGATGATCCCCAATACCAAGATCAACATTCTTTACATACAGAAATCATAAAAACCTTTGGAAGAGTTGGACCAAATGCCGAGCCACGATTTAGAGATGAATGTAAGTTGTCTTGATTAATCACTAATCTGTGTTTATCTTGTGCTCCACAATTATTGTAGCTTATTCTTGTAAGAATCTAAAGCAAGTGGGGTAATTAAATGGCCAATCACTGCAGTAATGTAGGCAAACAGCTTTTCTCCACAAAAACACAAGTAGCCATCTGTTCCTAGTTTTGGAAGATAAAAAGACCCCTTTGTTTGTTTGTTCAGTCGTTTAGTCATGTTGGTTGCTTCGATGACACTGTCCAACCATCTCATCCTCGGTTGTCCCCTTCTCCTCTTGCCTTCACACTTTCCCAACATCAAAGTCTTTTCCAAGGAGTCTTCTCTTCTCATGAGATGGCCAAAGTACTGGAGCCTCAGCTTCAGGATCTGTCCTTCCAATGAGCACTCGGGGTTGATTTCCTTTAGAATTGATAGGTTTGTTCTCTTTGCAGTCCAGGGAACTCTCAAGAGTCTCCTCCAGCACCACAATTCAAAGGCATCAATTCTTCGGCGGTCAGCTTTCTTTATGGTCCAGCTCTCACTTCCATACAACACTACAGGAAAAACCATAGCTTTGACTATTCGGACTTTTGTTGGCAAGGTGATGTCTCTGCTTTTTAAGATGCTGTCAAGGTTTGTCATTGCTTTCCTCCCAAGAAGCAGGCATCTTTTAATTT